TCCATTCTTCCTCCCGTAAAAGATGAACAATACAAAAACCATTGTGCTGTTTATAGATTCCCGTACGGGAATCTATAAATGGCACTACGATTTTCGTATTGTTCATCTTTTACGGGAGGAAGGAAGGAAGGAAGGCAATCTATAAATCAGGCTTAAAAGTGCCAAGAACAAGCGTTTTACTCCTCTTTTGGTAAAAATAAACCTTATTCTATCAGGGCTGTCATTAAACTGTCAAATTTCAATTTTAAGGTTAATTTACCTGATAAATTTTACCATAACCCACAAATTTAAATTTGATAGTTTGATGACAGCCCTTAAGGTTGTTAGCACTTAAAGGCCTCATTTGAGACGTACAAGTGCCTTTGTAAGAAACACAACGTTTAAAACGATTTTAAATCTGTATAAAAATAAAAATGGCCGCCGTTAGATTCTGCACAGTGTTGCAGTGATTTTTAGTATGCGCGAAACAAAATAAAACAGGGTTTTGTTGTGTGGATTTTGATTATTACATATTCATTCAAATATCTCTAATTAAATAATAATGTTAAAATTAATTATTATTAATATTAATAAAATAATTATTTTGACTTATTTAAAAAGGGTAAAGTATATCACCATCAACCTTGTATTAACTTATTTATTAAGTCGCAAGTTAAAAAAAATAACAAAAAGAAAAGGTAGGTCTATTTGTACAACTTTGGATTAATTTCAATAGATGGCGTTCGTAGCTGCGCTTCAAATTAATTAAAAAAACATAACCACAAATTAATTCATTTTTGTTCGCCTCAATACAGGGCTGGTTTTGAAAAATTCCACGATAATCGGAAATTTTTATCCCGACCGTCAGAAATTGTATTGTATTGGATAACAATATACCTACCACATTTAATCCACCATAATGGATACTTTACTTATCCATTAAAAATTATTTAAATAACCTCTATAGAATCTTTAACACCCCATATCAAAAACTTTAATCTGCCATATCAAAAAGTGTTTGCTGGGAATATGTAACCCTATGTGTGTAAAAGCAAAAAAAACACAACTTACCCGCAAATCAAATCAAACAAGTCAAGCTCAAGGTAAAAAACGAAAAAAAAACAAATCATAAAATAAAAATATAATTTATTACGGCCGCACTTCAAACTGGACTGCGACAACTAACTTTGTACTAAGAGAAAGACTAGCACTTTTAATACTTGAAGATTATATACATACAAAAACAGCAACAACAAGCTTATAAAACTAAGCTGGAAAGGAAAAAAAATCTACAAAGTGCACTTAGGTGGGAAATACCTGGGTCCAACCTGAAGTGGAGGTCCAACTTTGGGCCGGCAAGGTAGAGCTCTCGGAAATCTGGCAGGAGTTCTGCATGGAGCCGGGGAGGGCGCTCCAGGCGTTTTCCCCGGCGTTTTCCACGTAAGCTTGAAAGGCCATCAGTTCTTGACTTTGGTCTTCCGTGAGGGGTAGAGGTGGCAACACCGGCTGCTGCTGGGCTATCTTGTAGCTGGCTTGCCGCAGCATTTGGCGCCTGGATAGCGGGGTGTCGCAGCTGTTGGTTGCGGCGGTTTGCTTCTGCAGTATCTGCCTCTTTTGCTGTAAAATTCTGTGCTGCATCGCTGTATGCAGCTGAGTGTCTATAGCCGAAGTGTAGCTGAAGTTATCAGGGAGACTGATGCGTTTGTGGCCTCGCGGAGAGAGGTACTGGTTGTGTTGCTTTTGCCTGTGGGAGATTTCTTCCGGATGTTCTCTCGCTTGAAATTGAGATTGTAATCGTTGAGCTTCTCTTTGCACCAAATGCAACTCCAGTACGCCCTTGGCTTTGTTGTGTTGCTCGTTAAACTTCTGGCTGTTAAAGGCTACGAAGTTGGTACTACTTTCCGGTTGTTGGTTGACTAAACCATCGCTAGCTCTTCTCCCTGCACGAAACAAAATTTACGTGACGCTTTGAGTTATTCAAATTAAGTCGGTTTCACAGTTGCGAAATGCGATTTGCGAAAAATGTTTTCATTGGTCCATTTGATTTGATTTGATTCGCTAGATTTAAATCTAGGGTGCGGGAATCTTAAGATTGATTCAATAATTTGCGAAAATCGCATTAATTTAGTTAAGATATTTACAATTTGAGCGCATAATCTAAAATTTGAAAGAAATGCACTAGATTCTGTCATAGAAGTTGCCAGATTTTGTTTAAATTTACCTTCATTACAAAAATGACAAAATAAACAATTAATAAAAACGACAAATAACCAATTTTTGTTGTTGATTTTGTCTTTTTTGTAATTAAGCTAAATTTAAACAAAATCTGGCAACCGTTTTTGACAGAATCTGAAAACGCTGCTTGTTACCAACCATAATAAATTAAATTAGGCAACCAGATAAGCCTAGAGTTCCTAGTCTATCAGTGGCATACTTTTTGGCAGGATAAAGGGTATTTTAAATTATTTTTAGCCTTTAGAATTTATTTCGTAATTCGCATTACCGGGTAAATTGAGCTGGCGGAAAAAAACGAACAAAATGGGAAAATTTCAGAAAAATTGACAAACTTATTTTGTCAATTAGGTATTTAAAGAAATTAATTAATTTTTCTAAAAATTTACAAATTTTCGGATGCTATCTGTACACTGACATCGATTGATTGCCACTTTTTTCAAATATGTATATTTCCCAAAAAACACATTAAAGGTTTCAAAATTTCCGGAAAAATTGAGCCGACGGTAAAAACCGTTTTTTTTTCGGAAAAATTGGGAAACTTTCAGAAAAATTGACTTTTGAATTTTATTCAAAGGGTAATACGAACAAATTAAGTCATTTTTTCAAAAAATTTATAATTTTTTACGTATAATATCCGTACATTGATATCGAGAAAAAAAGTGAATCTTCGACGGTGAATATAATTATAATAATTATTCCTTTCATTTTAATTCAGTAAGAATATTCTACCGGGTCGCAAAAAACATATTCGGTGGTGTATTAACATAACTTTCGTTTTATTTGACACTTTGATTTATAAAATTATAATTTCGTAATTTAACTTTATAAATCATTCGTTATTTTGCAATTGGATATTTTCAATGGACTCCTTTTTGCAAAAAAGATCCAACCGACAGTATATTTAACGTTTACGTTTATTTTCTTAAATCAATTTAATTTAATTCGTTTTATTGCTACTTTTTTTTTAAATAACGAAAAGAAAACAGTTTGTCTCACATTTGCAGTTTAAAACCCCAAATCAAACTATATTTACCTTCTCTAAAGTCCACTGGAGACCTGGTCATCCCTCTGGTGCTCTTGTAGCTCGACATGTGCACCAGGGGACTGTTCTTGTGCATCAGGGACCTCGTGCCTCCGGGCGAGTAGGTGGTGTGCAGATTCGGCAGCGGCGTGGAACTCGTCAAGGTCGGCTCCTGCATCTGATCGTTGGAGGTGCAGCTGGGCAAGCTGCTGCACAGCTCGTTGGACTCCAAGCTTTCGAAGTTGCTGTCGCAGCTCAAGTTCTGGCTCAGGTTTTTCGATGTGGTGAAGTTGGTTACGACGCCGCTCGAAGACGACGAGGAAGCGTAGCTGAGCCGGTGCTGATGTTCTTCCAGATCGGTTTCTACTCCTTCGTCGGTTGAGCTGGAATACTGATTTGGCATGTCACCAATTTGAAAGTTACTGGAACAAGATGAAATGCTTTAGATGGATTGAATGAGTTTAGGGTTTTAAAGTGTCGGAAAAATGTTTTATTTGCGTTTTTTCCAGGCCTTGAGAAATTGTCTTTTTTGAGAAAAATATCCTTTTTTGCAAAAAGGAGTCTATTGAAAACATCCAATTGCAAAATAACGAATGATTTATAAAGTTGAATTACGAAATTATAATTTTTTAAATCGAAGTGTCAAATAAAACGAAAGTTATGTTAATACAGCAACGAATATGTTTTTTGCGACCCGGTAGAATATTCTTACTGAATTAAAATGAAAGGAATAATTATTATAATTATATTCGCCGTCGAAAATTCACTTTTTTTCTCGATATCGATGTACGGATAGTTGTCGTAAAAAATTGTAAATTTTTAGAAAAAATTACTTTATTTTTTCGTATTACCCTTTGAATAAAATGCAAAAGTCAATTTTTCTGGAAGTATCCCAATTTTTCCGTTTTTCCCGAAAAAAAAAACCGGTTTTTTCCGTCGACTCAATTTTTCCGGAAATTTTAAAACCTTAAATGTGTTTTTCGGGAAATATACATATTTGAAAAAGTGGCAATCAACAACTTAACATTATTTTAATTGTAAAAAAATATCCTTACAGAAAAAAAATAAAACTAAGCATTGAATTAAATTAAATTGATTTAAGAAAATAAACGTAAACGTTAAATGTACTGTGGGTTGGATCTTTTTTGCAAAAAGGAGTCCATTAAAAATATCCAATTGCAAAATAACGATTTATTTATAAAGTTAAATTACAAAATTATAATTTTATAAATCAAAGTGTCAAATAAAACGAAAGTTATGTTAATACAGCACCGAATATGTTTTTTGCGACCCGGTAGAATATTCTTACTGAGTTAAAATAAAAGGAATAATTATTATAATTATATTCACCGTCGAAAATTCACTTTTTTTCTCGATATCAATGTACGAATAGTTACCGTAAAAAATTGTAAATTTTTAGAAAAAATTACCTAATTTTTTCGTATTACTCTTTGAATAAAATGCTAAAGTCAATTTTTCTGAAAGTTTCCCAATTTTCCGTTTTTCCCGAAAAAAAAACAGTTTTTTCCGTCGGCTCAATTTTAATTTCAAAAAAATATCCTTACATAAAAAATAAAACTAATCATTGCATTAAATTAAATTGATTGAAGAAAATAAACGTAAACGTTAAATGTACTGTGGGTTGGATCTTTTTTGCAAAAAGGAGTCCATTGAAAATATCCAATTGCAAAATAACGAATGATTTATAAAGTTGAATTACGAAATTATAATTTTATAAATCGAAGTGTCAAATAAAACGAAAGTTGTGTTAATACAGCACTGAATATGTTTTTTGCGACCCGGTAGAATATTCTTACTGAGTTAAAATGAAAGGAATAATTATTATAATTATATTCACCGAAATTTTAAAACCCTAAATGCATTTTGGATGGGGCTCACCTTTTTCTCACTGAAGACGTATTGTCAGCAAACTCGAAAGGGTGCGAATGTGAAGGCCCGAAACCGTGCTGATTGATCTCCTTGAACAAAGCTATATCAGTGGATGTGGATGGTATGGCGGACATTTGCAGCGTGGACATCAATTTGGTTGCTTCTGAACACATGCTGAAACTCGTGGTGCTGGCTTGGTTTAAAATCTTCAACGCTTCCTCAGAGTTCCTCGCCGCTAGCAATTTAGCAGCGTCTATGCCATGAGCTGGAGGCGATTCGCTTTTGCGCGTTTCGCTGCCGTGTCTAGACATTATCGGGCTGGATAAAACGCTGGACGCACTGGTTGCGACGTTCAAAGCTGAAACACAAGTCGTTTAGTACATGGCGCAGTCGTTAGGATCACACACTGTTTAAAATATCTGTGGTGTGAAGAGTAATCTTAAAATGGTGTCAAAATTCAACACCAAGTGGTGTTAATATAAACACCATGAATTATGGTTGAAAATGTTATATATACAGCAAACACCAAAACTGTGTTTATCTAAAAATATTTGAGAAGTTCACCTACACAGAAAAAAAGGAATAGTTCATTTAACTATATTAATTTAGTTGACCCATAAGTATTTATTTCAATCAACTGTGGGAAGGTTAATATAAACAAAGATTAGTTTGACGGTACTAAACCAGATAGTTATTTTTTTTTTTAATTGGTTAAATTAACCCAGAAAACTTTAGTGAAACCAACCCGCTGTATGGTGCAGTTTACTAAATATGTTGTTTGTAAAATAAGAGTTACTTCAACCTAAAGCACTCTGTTAAAACGATTAAAACAATTTGCCGTGCATTCCTGGTTGCATAGTGTGTACCAATCGCGGCAAAGGCGGTGTGGATCACGTGATGTTCTTAAATCTCGCTTCTGTTGACTTACATGAAGAGTCTATAAGCTCAGGTAGTCCTTTGCTTTGGTGTGACACTACAAGTTGTTCGATACTAAAGAGACCTTAAATAGGTGGAAACAGCTGTCAATATTTGAAGTATTTTAAGTTGGTGGAACGCACTAAAAACATTATCTCTAGCGAGTTGAAGGTTCAATTTTCTGGAATAATACCACTGGTAATATACTTGTAATGCGTCAAGGAACTTCCTGTTTCCTTTTTTTCCTTTTTTTCTGTGTAGTATGATTTAATTTGACCAAAAACACATTATATTTAACACTGAAAAGGAGTTCAATTTACACCAGGTAAAATTTATTTTAATACTGCGTGAAAGTTAAATTAACACCATTTTAGTATTTGAATTTACACCGGCCAACGAACCATATTTAACGCCATTTTGGTTTGTATCGATATCAGTGGCGGCTCGTCAGGGTAGGCCTCTGAGGCCGCGCCTCACCCTTAAAATGAAGGAACGAACGACTTTTTGTATTTATATTTTTGCCTATTACAAGTGTATTTTTACAACAGTTCTACCCAATAAAAAGTAAAAAACCAATCAATAATATTAAGCGTAAATAAAAATCCAGGCGCAAAGCGCGTCGAGTCGCTTGTTGTATGTATCTTGGCTTGGACAGAGGCGAAATTTTCACAGCCTCGGAAGCTCCCATTTACGTCTTGATAGCGAAAATGACTCACCAACAAAAATATCGCCGTAAGTTCGCGAATAAACACCGTACATGAGGCGAAATCAAGTTAGCTTGGTTTGTTCTGATTGGTCGTTCGTTTATGGTGGGATGCCAGCGGAAACAAAGAAGGTTGCCAGTCTTATCTTAGCGCTTGTAGAGCACGTTATTGTTTTGATTCAGATTAAATTATTTAAAACTTTTGGCTGATCTTTTATAGTTTTTGTCTCGATTAGTAAAATTTCTTATTTAATTATTGTAGGGAACACACTAAGGTAGATTTAGCAGTTTTTATTAAGCAAATTTTATATTTTGAAATAATAGATTGCATAATTCTTCAATTAGAGACGCGGTTTGAAAATTTAGAATTACTTTTAAATCTCACTGCAGACCAACAATTTTACGACCAAATAATAGATAAATTTTCAATCTTAAAAGATAGACGTATAGTATTTTATATTTTTTAATACTTAGGTAGGGGTCGACTTTTTAGTTTTATTTTTATTTTTTGATTAATTTATTTATTTTTAACTTTTTTAAGACTATTTTTTAAGTTTAAGATTAAAACTAGTCTTTGATGTGATATTTTGTTTGTTTTGTTTTTTAGAGTTTATTTTTTGGTTTAGTAGTGCTATCGGCTCCATTTTAAAAAAGGTCAACGCGTCGCAGAATAATACCTCCCGGGTGACGTGGAAATTTATTCGTATTTAGACAAAATTAACCTTATGTAGCCTCACCCTCCTGTACACCCACGAGCCGCCACTGATCGATATAGACCATGTATGGTGTTAATTTGGTGTTAAAATTGTCATGAAATTTTGAACAGTGCATAGTTACTTGAGGCGTTGTTGATTCTGCTGTTGCTCGAATGCGGTGTTGCCAAGCTGTAGTGCGATAAACTCTGGCAATCCTCCATGGTACCGGCCCTGCCCAGTTTTCTTAACGCTTGGTCAGCTATGCTCGATGGTCTTCGCCGTTGTACTTCTTTGCCTGCCGCCAAGTCTTTGTCTTCCAGTTGGGCTCTCAGTTTGTCCAACAAAAGATAGTATATCGCAGCGTGGTGGTCATAGGATGCCATACGTATCGACTGCAACAATATTTGCTTAAGAATGTTACCTACCTGTTCTGAAAAGTATAGTCTAATTTTTAAAATCTGACCTGGTCTACTAAAGTATGTTTTGGGCGGAAGAATAAATATTAAACACCAATTTATAACCAGATAAAAAACAAAAACTGTTTTTTGAGTTTCACGAATTTATTATTATTAATTTGTCAAAATTAAATTAAAATAAATTCGTGAAACTCAAAAAACAGTGTTTATTTTTTTATCTTGTTATAAATTAGTGACATGAAGTTTCATCAAGTAAAGGTCGAAACAATAAAGTATTAAACACTTCAAGTAATGTGAAAAATATACAAGGGGTTACACAATTTGAGGTACATGCTTTCAAAAATGTACAGGGAGCGATAATATAATATTTAAATACCTCTTTGTCTGCCTTATGTAAGCCAAATAAATAAATTCATTAGTTATTTAGAAATTTTATATTTTAAAATACAGAGTGTCACCAAAGTTGTCAACCTAAATATTAATCTTCCTTTAAACAAGCAGATCTTATTCTTGCCTGTTAAATGTTAAGGAAGACTTTAAATGAAATAATCTTTTTCTTAATTTAAGATCGATTAGACCAAATTTTGGAAAATTCCCTCTATTCTGTTCTTAAAGATATAAAACTATACTGGATATAAATATAATTATATTTATTCCAAGATTAGTAAATATTGGTACGACTGGCCTATTCTTAAAAATATCCCCCACTCACGAAAGTGTCCAATATAGCCAAAAATGTCCGTCTTGCAAACAAAATCAACGTGTCTGAAGGTTTGAAAAAATCATTGCATATATTATAGGTAGATAGGTATTTGAAACATTGTAAAAAGTTAAGTAATAAAGACAATGCTATAGACCAACATCATTTTTTTCAGGTTAAGTTAAGCAATAATTGTTTCAAATATTGTCTATTCTTTTTTTAACTTTTGCTCGACTTTAAAGGTTAGGATATAATGACATGTTTATTTTAAAAGGTAAAGAGTGGATTATCCTATCTATTTTTCTCTATCAGTATTAAAAAGAAGAGATAGCATAATCCACTCTTTACTTTATGAAATAAACATGGTCATTATATCCTAACCTTTATTTAAAATCAAGCAGAAGTTAAAAAAAGAATAGACAATATTTGAAACAATTATTTCTTAACTTACATAAAGATACCTTACATTTAATCCAAAAGTAAATATTGTATTGCCAAGAAGTATAACATTTGTATCAAAAAATACTTATTCTTAAATTAAGCATATTGTATATTTTATTTAAGGGTGCATGCATGCATTTAAAATAATATGATAGTTTTTCTTGAAATAAGATTAAGTTTACCCTTGCACCTAACATTGAAATTATATCCAAATAAGTATAGGTTAGTCCTGGCATTCAACTCCCTATATCTTTCAAATAAGTTTTAATTTATCAACCCACCAAAGGATGACATTTTATTAGATGACACTCTGTATAAAATGTAAAAAATCTAAAATACCTTGGGATCCACCTTACGAATTATCTGTTAAAACATTGTAGCGTGAATTATTTGGCTTTTTAATTGTGATACAGGGTTTCGCACTACTCAGGACATTACACCTTCCGAGTTGTGGAACACCCTGTATATTAAACTAAAACTGCAAGTAACATTCTTACGTCTCTTGTTTTGGTGCTATCGATGCCCAAACTCTGCATTAACCTTAAAATCTGCTCTATAGGCTGGTTTATGGGTATGGAGAATGAGCAGGGTATTTTAGGTGGAGGACCCATCTGCATCCATCTTTGCTTTTTTATTTGCGAGATGGTGTATCTCTTCATCGGTTCCAGGACCAACATTTTACGTATCAAAGATTCGCAATCTGAAAGAAAATAAATTGCAAATTTTGGCACCTAATCTGAATCGCATTATTAAGGAAATTTTTTGTACATAAATTTAATTTGTTTTTCCATAAATTAATTCTCCCAACTTCGATATTATTTTTGGTGGATCATTTCCATAAAAAAGCTATTTTTAGCAATAATTTACCTACGTTATATGTAACGATAAAAATATATAAAACTACGTCAATATCTAAGTCAATATTTGTCCAAACTAAGCTTATGTTAAAAATAATAATAAAACCGATTCAGATAAATACAACATTGCGTGGTTATAGGCTAAAAAAAGCATCGATACAAAAAATTATAAGTTTTATATTTATCACAATGGCGCTTTGTATAATGTAGTCCAGTTTTTCGTCATCTTTTGACGTCATTGTCGCTAAAATAAGAAAATTATTGTCGCCTAAATTGGATTGATCACGAACCACGTTTATACCCCAATTATAAGCCAAAATAATTACACCAAATAACCGTGAATTAATTCATTTTTGTACAAAGTACAAAAATATTTTGTTATAAATATAAACATATTGTAGTGTGACTTGACCTTAATGGTATTATTGACAGATCAGTTTGTTGGTTTTTAGGTTAAGCTTCTGTCATTCCTTTTTTAAGGTTGTCTGGGATTATTTTCCTTTAAAATTTATTTCCAAATATGTTAACAATGTAGCTTGTTAATAATAGTATATTTTGCAAAAATTAATTATATCCTTAAATTTAATTTGTCGAATTTTACTTTAGATAGTTGGTATCACAGTCATTGGTTTGACAGTTAATGTCAAAATCGATTCGCCATGCCGTCCTTAATTAACTTATTTACAATAAGCGGCTGTTAATGTTAAAGAAGAAAAAAAGGATTTTCTTTGGCGTTAAACAAAATTTATTGCCGGAAAAGTCTCGTAAGTACTAGAAAAATCATAAAAATATTATAACCAATAGGCAAAATATTATGCTGTTTAAAGTATAGCAACCTATAAAACCAAAATTTTGGGTGGGATAAAGTATCTCATTACATCACCGAAAGCGGTGTTATAATGAAGTCATTATGAACGCAAAATAGATAAAATATTAAAATAACTTCAAAATATAATAAATTTTGTTAAAAAAATATGTTATCTTTTGATTTTTTTTATTACTATAATTGCAAAATATTATTATACCAAGTATTAAAAATTCTTACACGGGAAATGTTAAAGGTACAAAAAGTGTAGGTATTTATTGGAATTTTTAATTTGGGAATCTACCGGCGCTAAAATCTCAAATTTCTCTGTGTAAATCAAAATTTATCCCTTGAAAATAGACTAACAATCGATTTAGAAGCAGTTTTTCACATTAAAAGGGAAGAGAATGTTTTTTGGGCCCTATTTAAAAGGTCTTTTAGTGGGCGTTTTAAAGGTGGGAGTGGAATTTGTTTTAGAATTGCCAACATAACCAATAAAATCATAACAATCTCATAGTTCCATCGCTTACTTTGTTCATTTTTTCGGGCTTATTTTGTCTGGAGGTAAAAATAATATTAACTTGGATAATCATTGTGTCAACAATGACAAATAACAAAACAAGATTGCGATTCAACGACTTTATTATATTAATTCCAGCTTAATTAGTTTTTTTTGTGGTTTGTCGTTATTTCTTAACAGTCCATAGTTCGTTTTATGTCGCGTAGGTAATCATCAATTTACTTTTGTGACGCAAACGGGGCATCCGTCCGATGGAAAAAATTTCTAAGTGAGTGGCCGCCTGTTGACGCAGGTCGCCAGTTAAAAGTACCGCTCGTTTTAGTTACAAAACCTACTCGATGACGTCATCACAGGTGACGATCACGTTAGAAATCACATTAAAAAGATTTTATTTCTTAGCTTAAAATCAAGTACACTTGAAGCTAAAATTAACATTAATCTTTCTTTAAACAAGCAGATCTTATTCTTGCTTGTTAAATGTTAAGACAGACTTTAAATGAAATAATCCTATTCTTAATTTAAGATTAACAATCGATTAGACCAAATTTCGGAAAATTCCCTCTATTCTGTTCTTAAAGATATAAAACTATGCCTACTGGATATAAATATAATTATATTTATTCTAAGATTAGTAAATATTGGTACGACTGGCCTATTCTTAAAAATATCCCCCACTCACGAAAGTGTCCAATATAGCCAAAAATGTCGGTCTTGCAAACAAAATCAACGTGTCTGAAGGTTTGAAAAAATCATTGCATTATATATTATAGGTAGATAGGTATTTGAAACATTGTAAAAAAGTTTAGTAATAAAGACAATGCTATAGACCAACATCATTTTTTTCAGGTTAAGTTAAGCAATAATTGTTTCAAATATTGTCTATTCTTTTTTTAACTTTTGCTCGACTTTAAAGGTTAGGATATAATGACCATGTTTTTTTTAAAAGGTAAATAGTGGATTATCCTATCTATTTTTCTCTATCAGTCTTAGAAAAAAAGAGATAGCATAATCCACTCTTTACCTTTTGAAATAAACATGGTCATTATATCCTAACCTTTATTTAAAGTCGAGCAAAAGTTAAAAAAAGAATAGACAATATTTGAAACAATTACTGCTTAACTTACATAAAGATGCCTTATATTTAATCCAAAAGTAAATATTGTATCGCCAAGAATTATAACATTTGCATCAAAAAATACTTATTCTTAAATTAAGCATGGTGTATATTTTATTTGAGGGTGCTTGCATTTAAAATAATATGATAGTTTTTCTTGAAATAAGAATAAGTTTACCCTTGCACCTAACATTGAAATTATTTCCAAATAAGTATAGGTTAGTTCTTCCATTCAACTCCCTAAATCCTTCTAAGATGAACATATACTGAGATGATTAATCTTTAATATAGAATAGCTTTGAAAATAAGAATTCAAAAAATCTAAATTTATCTCTGATATAGAAACGCCATGTTCTCTATCAGACTTAAAATCAATTATCAATTATAAAGTATAAAATATTAATTTACCAGTTAATTACATTTTGATGAGATCATGTTTCTGAAAGGTGTTAATTATAGACGTAGGTATATCAAGTCAAAAAGTTATACATTTTGGCAACTCTTGATTACCTTTAATTTTGTATGATTATATTTTTTATTTATCAATTTTTTTAATTAAAATAATATTTATAATAAAAAAACATACCTGAACTCATGAAATAAGGAATCCTAAATCGTCCTGAAAGGACTCTGTCTCTTAAGGCTTGTAAGGAACAACCGTCAAAGGGTAGAGCGCCACATACTAGGACGTAAAGGACAACTCCCAAACTCTGAAAAAAATAAAACATCAAACTTTTAAAGTTTAATAGCAAAATAGGTTTTTTAATGGTATATAAGGGCTACATAAAACTACTCTTAAGCTTAGTTAAAACCTTTTTGCTTTAACAGCAGCTATACAGCTTCGATAAAACCGTTATAGGGCTAAAAATGAGAATCCAATCGCTGTTTGTGTGTCAGCCACAAAGCAACTTTGCTTTATTGTATTACTCTTAAGGCACACCTTACATCAGCCATAAAACCTACCTTACAGCTGTCATAAAACCTGCTAAGTGCAATAGGTTTTAAGGAGGTAGTATACTTTTGTCGTAAACACATTTTTTTGACTATTTGTACTTTACTGTTGTACTTTGTAAATTCCATATTGCTTTAATCAAATACTTGTTTGGAATATTGTTGCCTTATAAATCAAAGCATAGGCCATTATTGATTTTAAAAACTTAAAGCCTAATCATAAAGCTTCATTATCTTAAGACCAACTAGCACAAAGTAGAGCTGCAATAAAATAAAAAGCATCTTTTCTTGCATTTATAAAGCTTGCATAAACTGATTCCTAACAACGTGAATAATGAGTTCAGGAGTAGACAAAATTAATTATGTTGCTCAGGAATTCACAAAATAACATTAATATATTATCTATCGATTGGACTAATTATTTATTCATGAAATACTGTCTGCCAGTGGTTTTAAAAACAATATTTCACGAATAAAATTAATTTGTTTAAAACATCACAACCAAAAAAAAATTGTAGACTTTAGTATTTTTATTACACAATCCTCTTTAAATATTAAAAAAATTGATTAAATATTAATATTAATACCTATTCAAAAAAATTTATATCTACAAGAATCAAAAAGGCGAAGTATAATCAAAGATTGTCCTTTAACTTAATCATAACATACCTACAACATCTTTTTTTAATGTAGGTAAGTACTTACCCAAATGTCAATTTCTGGCCCAATGTACTTTTTTCCTTCGAACACTTCAGGGGCGGCATAAGGCGGAGACCCGCACCATGTGGAAAGTTGCCCTCCAGGGGTGTAATAATTCGAAAAACCAAAATCGGCGATTTTTATGTTGTTGTTTGTGTCTAATAGTAAATTTTCAGCCTGGAAAAAACATTTTTATAAATCTTCAGAATAAAGAGCAAGTCTAAAACCTATCCTCCGTGAATGTTACTCTTTCTAGGTTAACCTATATGTTTTCTAATATCTGAGGTAGTAAAGGCATACTAAAAATATCAGCTCACTAAGTAAATTAAACACATCCAAAGCAATCGAATCAAATATAAAATATTATTAAATATTAAAAGACATAATTTTTACAACCATTTAAGTAGGTGTTACAAAAATTGATTCTATCCTCCGTGAATCTGTTTTTGCTTTAAATTTTATGCAACGGATGGCGCTTTAATTATTTTAAAAAAGAAAAAACCTCTGTTTACGACATTATGGATGCATGTGACTCCTGAAGGCCAGTTAGAATGTATATGCAGATGAGAGTGTTGCTGTTTTATAATTCAAAAGTTTAAGTTCATTAATTTGCTATTTAAAAACCTATCCACCGTGAAGTGTAATATCTCAGTAAGTAGTTTTTTTATAAATAGTTTATGTATGTACAATTGTATTTTTAAAAAATATTAAGGTTTCAAATATTACAATAATTTATTTTAACTATACAAGGGGATGTTTTAAAAAAACATACGAAATCCTAACCTCAGTGAAGCTCTAATATTCAAAATGTATGATTTTTTTTTCGTCCAAAAGAAACAGTAAATTGTGGAATACATATAAATAAATTAATAATAAGGTTTAATTATAATTTATGCGTAATCACATTTTTAAATTTTGCTGATTAATCATTATACGTGATTTCTTTGTTTTAATGACTTCCTTTTAAATAGTTTTGCAAATTGTTAAGGAAAACTAAAATTATAAGCAACCAATAAAATTTAAGTTTGGTTATATTTTATTGGGTTGGTAAATCTATAACTTTTATGAAACAGTAAAAAAGTTAAAGTAAAATATGTACTATAAAAAAACGATTGCTTTTTTAAAAGATAATCCAGTTGGATCAAAAAATTTCCCTAAACAATTAAATAATTAAAATACAAAATCTCATTAGCGAAAATCCCACTGAAAAGCCCTTGTTTCCTAATAATCCGAGCACTCAGAGTTCATAAACTTTTTATTATTGGTTCAGTAGGACTCTTCAGACCTATTGTGAGTATTTTCCACTTTTCATTCTCTTTTTTATTTCGAGTCTCTTGAGATTCTATCGATCCTGGGACAATGACGTCACACGGCGTAGGTGGATACTTAGCGCCTTACGTTTAAGGGTTCAACCGTGAATATTTTATTTGTTGCCGACTTTGCTAAGTATATATACAGACAAACACAATTATTGACTAATACGTTTTTTCTGTATAATTATTATGCAAGAATACTGTATTTGTTTTTGAATCACGTTCTAATAATTAATATAAAAAAATATTGTAATAATTTTTTTTTAATATAAAGACGTAAAAACTGTAATGTCGTGTGAGAATGGTCCCTTAAACCCTTTCATCCCAAAGTGTCTAAAGCATTTTATAAGAAATTGGTTTTTTGTTACACTATAAAGAACTCTAAAAAGAATAAAGGCATGCTTGCTATTTTCGGATTCTTGAAAAAGGGCTGGGAAAAAAACAATTCTTTAAAAATTTATTATTAAAAAAAAATAATTGTACAAAATTAATTTGAAATAAGAAGTATTTCTTACCTTTAAATCTCGATGTACAATGTTGCGGTTATGACAATATTCCACAGCAGAAAGAATTTGCCAAAATTTCAATCTGGCATGCTCCTCAGTCATTCTACCGTATCTTGCAATATAATCTAAAAAAAATAGTAGATTGTTTTAGAGTAAAAAAAGTTTTTATTGTTTAAAAATATCTTGCTTGATAAAAGTGTAGCTAACCATAAAACTAAAATATTCATTTTTAAGATTTGACCATAAAACTAGTTTTTTTGTTTAAGTAGGATGTGCTTAATAAAAGTGTTGCCAACCATAAAACTTTGGGATTTTTAATATTTGCTTAATAAAAGTGTTGCTAACCATAAAACTAGTAATTAAAGTGTTGCCAAGCATAAAACCAGTATTTTTCTAGGATTTTTAAGATTAGTTTAATAAAAGTGTTGCTAAGTAAAAAAGTGTGGCTAACCATTAAAATAGTACTTTATTTTACGATTTTTAAGATTTGCCGAATAAAAGTGTTGCTAATCATAAAACTGATAATTTTCTTTACGATTTTTAAGATTTGCTTAATAACAGTGTTGCCAAATGGAAAAGTGTTGCTAACCATAACACTAGCGAGTAGTTTTATTTACGATTTTTAAGATTTGCTTAATAAAAGTGTTGCCAACCATAAAACTAGTTCTTTTCTTTACGGTTTTTTAAGATTTGCTTGATAAAAGTGTTGCTAAGTAAAAAAGTGTGGTTAGTCATTTAACTATTTTACGATTTTTAAGATTTGCTTAATAAGTGTTGTAAACCCTGAAATTGGTTCTTTTCTTTGCGATTTTCAAGATTTGCCTACAGTTCGGTTTTGGTTCTCGTGTCTGTCGGTTGCTCTATGAAAGAGTATTTGAAAAATAAGTGACTTCTCGACCCAGGAGAGGCAAAATCGGACTCCCAGTGTAAAAACAAACTGGTTTTAACCAAGAATTTGAAAAAATATATGGAAATACTTAAGAGATGGATCGGATGATTGAAGATTAAAGATAATTGGAAAATTCTGTGTATGAAGCCATGTGTACATAGTGAAGCGAAAAGATGACATGGTTCTATAAAATTTTATAAATAATTAACAATATATAAATGATTCAAGGGATGAGTTAATCTCAGATTCTTTTAAATAAGACCCTTGATCATAATAAAGAAAATTTAATAATATAATGTGCTGGCCAAATAGCTTTTAAATTAAGCTAAAGGTCATTCCTCTGAACAAAGAATTGTGTTCAGAATTAAGAAGAAGAAGAAGATTTGCCTAATAAAAGTGTTGCTAATCATAAAACTGGTACTTTTCTTTACGATTTTTAAGATTTGCTTAGTAAAAGTGTTGCTAACCATAAAACCAGTACTTTTCTTTGGGATTTTTAAGATTTCTTTAATGAAAGTGTTCCTTACCATTTGCTTAATAAAAGTGTTGCCAACCATAAAACTAGTTCTTTTCTTGGGATTTTTAAGATTTGCTTAATAAAAGTGTTGCTAAGTAAAAAAATGTGGTTAGCCATTAAAATTTTTTACGATTTTTAATATTTGCTCAATAAAAGTGTTGTAAACCATGAAATTGGTTCTTTTCTTTGCGATTTTCAAGATTTGCCTAATAAAAGTGTTGCTAATCATAAAACTGGTACTTTTCTTTACGATTTTTAAGATTTGCTTAGTAAAAGTGTTGCTAACCATAAAACTACTACTTTTCTTTGGGATTTATAAGATTTCCTTAATGAAAGTGTTTCCAAGCACAAAACTAGTATTTTTCTTTAGGATTTTTAAGATTTGCTTAATCGAGTGCTTAATAAAAGTGTTGCTAAGTAAAAAAATGTAATAATGGCTTAAGCCATTAAAATATTTTACGATTTATAAGATTTGGTTGGAAATTGGTTCTTTTCTTTGCGATTTTCAAGATTTGCCTAATAAAAGTGTTGCTAATCATAAATCTGGTACTTTACTTAACGATTTTTAAGATGTGCTTAATAAAAGTGTTGCTAAGTAGAAAAGTGTTGCTAACCATTAAACTAGTACTTTTCTTTGCGATTTTTAAGATTTCCTTAATAAAAGTATTTTAAAATATGTTGTCAAAATTGTAAAAAACAAAAACCATTACCTCAAAACTGTTTTAAGTTTCTTTAATAAATTGTATAACACTTGTCTAAAACTGTATAAAAATCGATATTTTCCTTTAAATGAAATTGTTACAAAATATTCAAAATTTTGCAAGTAAAATATTACCTCGTTAAAATTTGAAAACCAAACAAATCATTTTCGCCTGCATAACAAATGAAGGTGTTGCGTAACGGCGCTATTGAATTGAAGATTCATTCCATTTCGTCTGCTGAAATTTCGGGCTCCCACGCAAGCGGGGGGACCTTGACGTAACTCTGACGTCATCTGGGGGGATTGGGGAATCCACCCCCGCCCTCCGACTCCCCTCGCCCGAACCAAGCCGCGAATTACGGCTGTCACAAACAAAAGGCGCGATTTGGGTTAAACGGCTTGTCAAATGTTAAAACCCGCGCTTTTTATTGACTTGAGAGTGTATTTTGTTTTGCTGTACAGGGTGTTTCACGTTTTTAAGATTTCTTCACAATTATTTACATTTTACTGAATTTTTAAAACAGTTTTTGTAGTAGATATTTCAATGTTTTGGGACACATTTATTTTGGAATTTTAAACCAGTTTTAAAAGATGTTTATAGTAATTCAGCTTTGGTTAAAGTTTAAGAATGTATTCTTACCAAATATTTCTCCTTGACTAGCATACTCCGAAACAAGATATATCATGTTTTTTGTTTCCATGACCTGCAAAGAAATGTTTTATTTTTAATAAATACATAAATACACAAACATGCACAATTATTTATTGGCTTTAAATAGAATTCTTAAAATATAAATTTCCAATGGATAAAATCAATATAACCCTTACAAAATAAAAATCTTATTGTTTCGAGCTGTTGAATAAATAAAATTGTTCGGTAATTTACGACTGTTGTTGAAAAGTTTAAAATAACAGGAAAATGATGCTTGTCGTAAATTAAGTTTTGTTTATCAAATTCGTATGATTTACATTTGAAATTGTTATTTTGTGTTTACAACAAAGTTTGACTTGATATCAAGTAAAATATAATTATTGATTTTAAGTTCAGCTTCAGTTTTTGTCTTTGGCATTATTTTATGTTATTTTCCATTGAATAAAAATATTTTTTTCATTAAATAAAAATTTAAAATAAATTTTACATTTTTCTCATAGGATTTTTGTCAATATTTTTTTTTCATTGAATAAAAATAGGATAAAATTATTTTGCCATCAGTTAAAATATTTTTTTTCATTGAATAAAAAAAATATAGATATACGGCTTTTGTTAGTCGGTTAATGATCAGTATTCGCCAGCTAGGTTCGTTAACACCGCACCTTCAACTTGCCCCTGACGCCGGCGTCGGTCCCACCGACGTCACAGGCGTCGCCTGGCAACCGGCGCTCTACGCTTGCAAACCGCCACGGCTTACTACGATCGAGAGAGCGTGGCAATGCCATGCTAGCCATCGTGATTCTATTTTAATATAACAAGCTAGAAATATAGTTTTTTATCAAATCAAAGCAGTTTTTTTCGATAAAAAAATATAATTTTTTGCAGTAATGAATAGTAAAATAAAAAACAAATAAATTTACATTTTTTTGCCATTTGTTGGTAAACCATAAGAATAATTAATGTTTTTGTTATGCTATGTGGTTAATAAATACAATTTATCTTGGTTTATCTATTTTACATTCTTTCAAATATAATATATGTGCAAGGACAATTTGTGGTTTAAAAAATAATAATAAATACATAAAATAAATAAAAATTTTAAGAAATCATACATTTTAAATATTAGAGCTTCACGGAAGATAGCTTCACGGAGGTTAGGATTTCGTATGTTTTTTTAACATCCCTTTGTATATTTGAAATAAGTTATTGTATCTTTTGACGCCTTAATATTTTTAAAAAATACAATTGTACCTACATAATATATTTATAAAAAAAATCTACTTGCTGGGATATTACACTTCACGGTGGATAGGTTTTTGCTTATTTAAAATGATTAAAGCGCCATCCGTTGCATACAATTTTAAGCAAAAACAGGTTCACGGAGGATAGAATCAATTTTTGCAACACCTACATAAATGGTTATAAAAATTATTTATTTTAATTTTTAATAATATTTTATATTTGATTCGATTGCTTTGGATGTGTTTAATTTACTGAGTGAACTGATATTTTTAGTATGCTTTTATAAAAGTATACTTCCTCAGATATTTGAAAACATATAGGTTAAGCTAGAAAGAGTAACAGTCACGGAGGATAGGTTTTAGACTTTTAAAACATTGTAAAAAATAATTAATTGCGGTTAAAAATCTGGAACCTGAGCTGTAATATCTACTTAATTATGAAAGATCAAAACACAATAAAAGTGTAGGTCAAACTCATTTAGTTTTATTAAATATCACTTTTATAGACACCCATTTAATTAAACACTCGCTTGCAAGCTGCTTTTATAAAATGAGCACAAAGGTAATTTGATTTTTATACTAGAGGCGCTTTAAAAGCGTATCATATTCTCTTGAAACCTTTTATCTGGTTGCTTGACCCAATTTAAAAATGTACACCACAGAAATTGTTGCATGGTTTTTCAAGTTCTTCCTTTTGTGCACTTTTTATATTAAATACCTAAACAGGTGCCTTTATATTATTAAACATGATTCTTTTATCCAATGAAATAGTATTTTTTATTTAACGAAGACATTTTTAACCAATGAAATATACTTTTTATCCAATAAAAAATATGTTTTCCCAATGAAATCTTACCTGATATAATTTTATAATGTGCGGGTGATCCAGCCGTTTCATGATATCGACCTCCCTGTATACTTTTTGTAAGTTGTTGCCGTCAAGTTGAGATTTATCAATTATTTTAATGGCGACCTGTAACAAATAAATAAAAAATATTAAATTTGTAAAACTTTAAGCTTGACAAATTTTAGTATTTTAGACATGACTTCAAAGTTGTTAAAGACTGATTAGTTTGATCATCAAACTTTCATGTAGTGAAAACAAATTATCATGAACAAAAAAAATTGATTTTAATCTTTGAAAAGTTGTTTTTTTCAATTTATTTTTGAACATATGGAAAATACGTTATTTACTTTGGTGGTGAATGTTTATATTTTTGAAAATTGATGCGTCAATACCAATAAATGCATCTGTATGTCATGACCTATTTTCTTTGAAATTATTTGTCCCAGATTCAAGACATTGTGATAACCTCTATTTTGCTTATTAATTTTTTTATAAAAATTAGACGAAAAGTTACACCCATATATTATTTTTTTCCAATGAAATTAATTTTTATTTCCCTATTTTTCAATTTATTAAATAACAGTGTTAAACATGGCGTAACATTACACTAACGTAATTTAATCTAGATTATACGTAAGACGTAAAATAATCTCAATACTAACGTCAAACGGATATTTTGTTTTAAAACATTTTACACCACATAAAAAAATATCTGCGATTATTTCACTCCAGTGATAATCTTTAACGCAGAACTTAAGATAATATTGTTTATTTTTTACTATTGCTAATATTTGCGTAATTTTTTTTGTTCAGTTCCGCCACTGTATTGGCGTTCATGTCTACTTGATATCACCCAGAAAAAGTTGACGCAAACGCGTGACGTCAATCCGCTATAAAAGGTTATTAAGATTTAATACAGGGGGGTATAAGGGGAATTTGACAACAGGCAACAGTAAAATAAATCTAGCATGCGTTGAAACCCAAGTTGTTTTTGACAAACCCCAGTTATTAACCACGTGATTCTTACTTTGTTGTGATTGGTCTTTTCCAACTTGTTCGTTGATGTTCGGTTTGAGAAATTACAAATGGCCGACAGCGTTGTTGAAGTGGTGTGTACGAAGTTTTATAATCCAAATTTTCTTTGTTTTAGGTAAGTAAACTTGTTAATTTCGGCTTTAACATTTTATTAGGTGTTTTTAGTCAAGTTTGAGTTAGTTGTAGCATCATTACCGAGTTTAAAATAAGAAAATACGTGTGATAATCCGTATCGGTTTTTTTCTCTATGTTTACCGAAAACACATGTAGTTAATAAAATTCTTTTTATGTAATGAAACCTATGGCAAAGAGTAAAGACTCTTACTCTTTGCTTATGGGTTGTTTAACTAATGCAAGTTTTGATAGAATTTAAATAGTTTTAAAGCGTTTTGATTCAAAACTTTCAATCAAAACAGTTTTTAACGTTTTTTTTCTCGACACTAGTTGCTGTTATACAAAATGTTAAATATACCTAAAATCTTTGTCAAAATGTATGTTTTTGTTAAAATTATTTGATGTAGCTACGCGAAAACTGAACCTGGGTCCAGGGCCCCACTACATTGGCATTTGGTGGAGCGGAGGTTATTGAACGAACAGCCCCCTCATCGGTGGATCGGACGTAAAGGGCCCAACAATTTGGCACTTCATGTATGGTCAACACATTGAACCGATATCACAGTGTGCGACTTCTTTCTCTGGGGCTTTATAAAAGATAACGTTTATGAGCTCCAAGATTTGTACAAGCTAAATACCTACACGAATTGGAACTGCCGAGTATCTACAAGATGTTTGCAGCTGGAAGAGGTCATATTAAACACTTGTAAGTATACAGTTCAAAACTTGATTATATTACAAATGTTTTGTGCTTTCCATGTTTTTTTTACATAAATATAGCATTTTGAACTACAGGGTGATAATCTTTTACAGTATTTTTATAGTCACATTTTCAATTAAATTGATATTGTGGCTTCATCCAAGAGTTTTCACATAAGTTGAAAACCAGGCAAACTCCCATTGAAGTAAATGCAAACTAAGGCACTTGGGCACATATTTCTGCCACTTTGAAAATACCACATGAAACCTTACATGAAACACTCTTAGATGAAGCTACAATGTAAATTTAATTGAAAATGCGACTTAGGCACTTAAGTGCAAGAATTCTTGCATTGACCCCTTCATTTGTTCTATCTGAAAGTCTGACATTTTTAATGTACATAAATAACTAGACAATTATTAAGCAAACCTTTTAAAGAATTATTTTTAAAGTTTTTAATTCAATTATTTTTTGCTACAATATAAATTGATTTTAATTTAATATAATTAATTTTAGCTTCTGCAATAATGGAAGAATTAGACAAGATTTATCCTGCATGAAGAAAAAGAATGAAAGCTTTACTCGTCAATCCCAAACAGAAATATTTGACCAAATTTTTTTAATAATAGGTAGATATATTTTTTTTTATTTAGAATACATTTTTAGTTACAATTGGTGGTGTGTGAATATTTTTACCAAATAAATTAAGTAACTTAAAATTAAATATTTAAACTACATAAATAGTTTGAATTATTTGAATAGTTCAATAATTACAATCATAATCTATTCAAATAAGTTAATTAAGGGTTAATGACAAGTAAATAACATTTTTTTTATTTCAAAATAAATTTTAAATTACAATTCCAATGTTCCATTTCTTCAATTACTATTGGAAAATTTTAATTTTCTAATTGAACCATTTAAAAATTTGAAACATTCAAACTATTCAAATAATTCTTGAATTCAATATTCACACATCCATAGTTACAATCCAAATATAAAAAAAGTAAAAGCCTGACCATTAAAGAAAGTACACTTTTAGTATTTACTCCAAATATAATTTAATTGTTTATTGTTAAAACAAGCAATCTGACATTTTTATATTACATACACTTCTGCTTTAAATTATTATTTTGAGGCAGAAATATTTTATTTAGGATTTTTATTAGGATATTAAAAAAGGATATTTTCATGTTAAAACAGCACAAGTTAACCATTATTAGTTTTTATAAGATTTTTAAATTAAAAAATAAACAAAATCATATTTAGTTAGTTACTTAGCTTGTTTTTACAATAAACCATTCAATTATTTTTATGCTGGTAAAACAATTACCTTTAGCATAAATAAGTAGCATAAATATTGATACATTATTTTTATTTAATTTTAAACATTATTAGGTAATATCAATTGTTTTACAATTTAAATTGATTTTAAAATTGGTATTGATTTCAGGTTTGGGTTTGTGTTAATGGAAGAAGCAGACAGGACTTGAATTTATCAAACTTCTTTGCAAAAGAACATAGAAAATATTAATTGCAGTTGAATATTCTTCATTGAATCAAGAAAAAGGCGCAGGTTCAATCCATGAATCATGAACAAGAAAAAAGACAATTAATACTTAATATTGACCAGAAAGTTAAATCATACATAAAGATTTTAATTTTGCCAAATACATAATAACAATATTTTTAACATTGAGATTTAAGTGGTTCTATTGATTATTAATTTTAATTAAACCAATTTTACTAAAAATTAAATATTCCAAATAATGTAATTTAATTTTTGGATAAGTAGGAATTCCTTTTTGCCAAAAATTCTATATTTTACAAAACTACAGTATTGTGCTTATTTAAAAAACAAATTATAATCATAATTCCTAAAAATTATATATTATATTTTAGGCATTAGCCTTTTGGTTTATTCCAATAAAGAAATTTAATACCACATTAAGAAATCTGAAAATAACTATAGGGTATTCAATAAGTCAGTATGTATTACAAAATTATTTATGAATTACATATTCAAAGTTAAAATAATTTTAATTATATAATATACTTGAACTGATTTTTAAAAGGTTGTTTTCTAATATTATATATAAGGACCAATAAGTATTGAACTATTGTTTATCAAGAATTTATCAAATATTTTGATGGTTTGTAATATGTTTTAGAGTTAATTTGTTTAATAAACCTTTGCATTTTTATTAAGAAATCTTAAAAAACCTACAAAAATTGTTATTATGTGACACAAAATTAAAATTTCTGAAAATTATCGCTGTAATCAAGCGATAATTGTCTTGTAGGCATATATAAGAGGGTAATTATCAATTTAGTGTCATACTTTTTGATAAATTATACCTAAATAATTATAAATTATTATACAAGTTTGATAAACCTTTTTTTAAATTTCACTAAGTTAATTTCTCCTCATTTAAATATTATTTGTTAGTTATACTTTAATTTAAAATTGAATTAAGTGTATATTTTGTTAAATATATTTATTAAAAAAACAAAAATGTGTGTTTTTCCACTTAATTAGTGGAAAATAACCGAAAATTGTCGAAATTTTATATTTTTTGATTTTTAATGGACAATATTACGTATATAATCCTTTTAAAATCAAAAAAATATAAAATTTAAACAATTTTCGGTTATATTTCCTTGTTTTAAATAAAAATTCAAATAGCCAAACATTCAAATTTCCCGCAAAAAAACAACTCGGTTTTCCAAGCCTGCTAGATTTAAAAATCAACCAATGCTTGTTGCCACTTTTGACTATAGCGCTTTTAATTCTCTTATGTTCTGTGATTTAATAGATAGGATATCGTAAGGCTTTGAACATATAGCCGCCATTGTTTGTCGCGATGCTCTCTTTTTTCATCTTCGTACTCAATATATTTGACAATCTAACCGAAAGATTTTAATCTGTGCCTCTTGTGGCATCGTCAAATTTTCTGCTTTATGATTTTTAATCGAGAAAAACAGAAAGTAAAAAATCAATCATACTAGCATAAATGGTAAATAGATATACACATAGGAAAGATAACGAGACATTGAAGGCTTTTTAACGTCGTTTGTATTTTTTTTATGCTACGGTATACCAAAATAGATGTCTGCTGGAATATCTCCAATCTCTCTAAAAGTCTCAAAGTTAAATCATTGAGAACTGTAAATAATATGCTAACTTATTAGCAGTATGTGTGAAACCCACTTTAAAAACTCCAAAGCATTTTTTTGTTGTTAAATATTAGACAGAACTAAAGAATTTTTACTGGGGTATTTTATCCTCAACATTTTCTATAAAGGTGTATGACACCCAGAAATTCTAAAAAATTGTTAACATTTTTTAAGATTAGTAGGTATAATTTAAATATTTTTTGTCTATAAATTTTCCTATTTTCATTTGAACCATCGAGTATTGTTCCGTTTTCTTGAAAATATAAACACCAAGGCCAAAGACTATTTTTAATATTTTGTTTCCCGAATATTGAAATACCATTGCAAATAATCATAATTTGGCGATAATTAAATGCAGATACAATTTTACACCTTAATTAATCATGATGTAATTAATTAGTATCTTAATGCATAATTAATCAAAGCAACCTTACATTAAAAAAACAATGGATTTTTTTACAATTTATACTGTACGTTTGAGTTGATTTAAAACTTGGAATCTTAATTGCAAATTTTATTAAACAATTACCTAACGATTACACGACAACACAAGAAAATAAACACATTAAAATTACTCATAATAATGCCTATTTTAAATAATTGTTGTATACAAATTTTTTTGGTCTGGTGTGGATGTCAAAAATTTAATTAGGTAAATATATTATATATTATTTGGTAGGAAACATTAAAATAGACGTCATAAGATAAAAATGTTGGTTAAGGCAAATATTTATGTATATAAAAACTAGAGCAAGTAAATATTTATTTTTTGTTTTTAACTATTGGCTAGGGTTTTAAAGTGCCAAAAAAAAAATTAAAAAATTATTTTTTTGGGAAATATACAAATTGAGATAGGTATAAATATTTTATATAATGTACACCCTGTAAAAAATTATCAAAATTATTTTTTTAAATTGATAACGATATGTAGTCTTTGTATACACCTAAAATCATCTAGTTTTTGCAAATGCAAAAAAAATATAGAGAATTTTTTTATTTCGTTTATTAATTTGTCCGGCATTTTTTTACATCCTGTATACATATATATTTCTATTCTTTGACTCAAATCAAATCTGTGAAACATGACAAATTTAACGAAGCGATTTAAATTTCTAAGCAATTATTGCATCGTTCAGAAATTTGAACATAAACTATTTTTGAACTGAAGCTAACGATCAAGGTTGGAAAATACGTTGAAAAAACGTGATTCAAACATTTTACGCAATTAAATGCGTTTAGGTTTCTCAAATATAAACATTAAAGAAATAGTTATAGACAAAGTTTTTAAAATCAAAATATTTTATTTTGTACATGTATATATATATGTATACATACGTACACAAATGTGTTTTAATTTTGCATAGTAGTATAAAAAAGTATAAACTACAATTACTTAGGTAAATTAGTACCCACCTATTTCAAAATAACTTGCTTATGTCTGTCAATTAATCGTTTCCTATTTGCGTATAAACCCAAGGTTCTAAAATAATTAATTATCAATATTTAGATTAACCCTTATTAAAATTAAATTAAAAACACAACTTTTTTGTCTTTTGCATTTTTTCTCTATATTGCTTAATTTTCAAGAAAAAAAAATTAACTCGTATGAACAAGTTCAAAAAAGTTAAAAACCTCCTAATTGCTTGGTTTATTAATTTAAATTATAAAAAATATTTCGTTATCATGAAATAAAGTAATTAGTTTTTTAAACAGTACAAATGACGCAGTTAACATGCGTAGGTATGACAGTTTTTTTCCTTTACATAGTAGAACACTCAAATACCTAAATAAGTTATTAAAATTAAAAGTATTTTTTTTCTTTTTCCTGCACGTAAAAATAAAATGTCCGAAAATGTCACCTAGGTAGGTATGTAATTTTGCTCCAATTTCAGGGCACCCTGTATATAAAATGTGTTTCAGTATAAATTTAGTAGGTATTCTACGTAAATCTGCAAAACATTTTGGACTTTGACCAATTCACAAATTGGACAATTATATAAATTACGTATTTATTAAAAAAACTATAGCTAACTATTTATTCAATTAAAAACCTTTAATTATAATTATCTCTAGACAATTTCGTTAATTGCCCCGGTAATTTTACTAATATAACGTACCTATTAGTTTATTTTATTACATTTTATCGTAAAGTTAAATATAACTGGCACTAGCGTAAATTGCCGATAAGGAAATTTGCGAATTAATTCTAATTTTGTTACATCAACGAATTTCCCAATTTGATAACTTTCTTCGTTTTTACTAATATTAAACCTAATATTTTTTAAACAGGAAATTGTGGGTAGATTACAACTTTATTTCCTGTCAAAATTGGGTGTTTATTGTTACAAAAACTGTACAGGGCAATCTTAGATTTACTAAATTTTTAAAATGTTTGTCTTTAAATTGCCTCAAAACTATCTAAAATGTTTTCCAAGAAGTCATTAGTCAAGTTAGGCAAAATGCACGCATGTCTGTAGAGAACACAAAGAAGAATTTAAATTACATTCGTTAAATATTTGACATTAACATCACTTTTTACGAATTTATAATAAAGCTAACTTCACCCCTTTAAGTCACAGCTTGCCAATGTGGGAGTAGATACAAATTGTTAATTTTAACAGTGATGATTTAAAGTTTTGAGTTTTTGACACAAAACTGTCAGAAAATGCATCTGTCAACCATAAAAATCTCAGCTTCATTATTTGAATGGTTTCCATAACAAATGCGTTTTTTGGATGTGTCATATTTTAGCTTATTAGGCACAAAACGTTGCCAAGTTTAAACCTAAATGGTTAATGACTCGAAAACAATACAGAAAATTATCACATGGATTATTTTTATATACCTAAATACTATTTACGTTATAATAATAATTATATTAAATAACAATAATAACGTTTAGAATTGCTCCATAAAGACAGGTTGAGAAATTCTAATACAAAAGAGGATAAATTTGAACTTACTTCTGTTTTGGTGATCCTGTGCCTGCCGAGCTTGACAACAGCGAAATTCCCTTTACCGATAGTCCTTTCTATATCGTAGAACCCGACTCTGATGGCCTTTATTCTCTCCCGCTCGCCCATTTTGAAGGATATTATGACTTAAACTCGCGTTAAAATGCACTCGAACGCCTTTTCCCACCCCTAAACGGCCCTAAACCATGCCAGAAAAGCACGATTTTCAAGTTTTGCTTCGACTCTTTTGCAGAGCTATCGCGTCACTCGCGATGATCGCAGTGCGCCGAGCACGACTGTCAGCTGTTGGCCGCGGCTTGCTGCGATTTCGCGGCGCGCTACAAGCCAATGCAATCTCGTCGAAGCGGTGTTGCCAGAGTTCAGAGATTTACCCTGGGTTTGAGAAAGTTATATTATGACATTTACTGTTACTAGTACATATAAAATGCGTAAAACTGTTCAAAATGTAATAATATAATTAACTTAAAACACACAGAACTTGAAACGGTCAAAAACTGTCAAAACAAAAAATTCTGAGTTGTCAAAAATTAAAAACTAAAATCTGACAATATTCATGGGGGCAATATTTGATTACACCTGGCAACACTGTCGTCGGTGCTCAGACCCAATGCGCCGTGACGTAGGTACGAGTGACGTGCGTTATTATAGTATTTAGGTTTTTTTATTGCTTCGGATTTTTTTGCTATCTCGCTCCTGTCTCTGTGTGTAACACAATTTGATTTGAGGTTTTTTGTTTCGAGATTGTAGGTAGTTTAATTACAAACGTGATTTAAAACATTTCTTTCTGTCCAATTAGAATTAAACACAGATATTAAAGTTTATTTTTTATGTCATTAATGTGATAACTGCTACCAATGGCAGTGTTACACTGAGAAAAAAGTTAATTGTTCCCAAATAAAAAGAATAATTAAATATGGGACAGAAGCATTGTTTATTTATCCTACATATATTTTTATTCCTGACACAAAGTTTTACTAAAGTAAATTTATCGTTATTATTACTATTATTTACTATTTAGAGGTAATAAACAATATATTTAATATTAATAAAAAGTATTAGCCACACAGTTTATTTGTCCCATTTTTTCTCAGTGTATTGTTGAATAAAAATAAAATATTAAAAAATTATTATTTTTATTTTATCTAGGAACATTCGCTATTTCTGAAAAATATTGAATTTGTTATTTTACATGTTTATTTCATACCTAAAATTAGTTTTGCAAATGTCATAAAAAATTTTTTTATTATATAAACACTGGATTTAAAACAGTTTATTAACAAAGAAAAAGGAACATTGAATAATGAATTCATTATTATGAGTTAACTCATTATTTTTACCCTTCTAAACAAAATATTGATACGTAAAACATCTCGTGGCCTCCCAAAAAGTAATCTTGGAGCACCATTTAACATATTTCCTTACTATTAAATTTAATTTTTCCACCACAACACCCAATGATATCTCAAACTCTACTAAACATCTCAATCATGATTTATAGATTGCCTTCCTTCCTTTCTCCCGTAGAATATGAACAATTCAAAAACCGTTAAGAAGTTGTCTTGGTATACTATTTAACACCTATGCTTACCATTTCCAAATTTAAATTTAAGTTTTTCACCTCAATACCAAAAGTAAGCCTTTTAAACAAAATATTGATACCTAAACATCTCATGGTCTTCCAAAAAGTAATCTTGGTGCACTATTTAACATCTTTCTTCTCTATTTTCAAGCTCAAATTTAATTTTTCTACCACAATACCAAAAGTAGCCTTCTAAACAAAATATTGATACGTAAAACATCTCATGGTCTCCCAAAAAGTAATCTTGGTGCACCATTTAACATATTTCCTCATTATTTTCTTTCTAAATTTTAATTTTTCCACCACAATACCCAATGATATCTCAAACTACTAAACACCTCATGGTCACCCAAAAAGTAATCTTGGTGTACTATTTAACACCTATGCTAACCACTTCCATATTCAAATTTAATTTTTTCACCGCAATACCAAAAGTAAGCTTTCTAAACAAAATAATGATACCTAAACATCTCATGGTCTCCCAAAAAGTAATCTTGGTGCACTATTTAACATCTTCCAAATTCAAATTTAAGGTTTTCACCTCAATACCAAAAGTATGCCTTCTAAACAAAATATTGATACCTAAACATCTCATGGTCTTCCAAAAAGTAATCTTGATGCACAATTTAACATCTTTCTTCTCTATTTTCAAGCTCTAATTTAATTTTTCCACCACAATACCAAAAGTAGCCTTCTAAACAAAATATTGATACGTGAAACATCTCGTGGTCTCCCAAAAAGTAATCTTGGTGTACTATTTAACACCTATGCTCACCATTTCCAAATTCAAATTTAAGTTTTTCACCGCAATACCAAAATTAAGCTTTCTAAATAAAATAATGACACCTACACATCTCATGGTCCCCCAAAAAGTAATCTTGGTGCATTATTTAACATCTTTCTTCTCTATTTTTATGCTCAAATTTAATTTTTCCACTACAATACCAAAAGTAGCATTCTAAACATCTCGTGGTCCCCAAAAAGTAATTTTGGTGCACCATTTAACATATTTTCATAATCAAATTTAATTTTTCCAAAAGTAATTAAAATAATGATCTCAAAATCTAATAAACATCTGCTATATGTATATATATATACATATAGCAGATGTTTATTAGATTTTGAGATATAGCAGTTATAACTAATTTTTTTTTAATTCCAAAAACACGTCTAACCCTACATTTTTTCAAATGTATACTCGACTTTAATGTGTTTTTTACGCTTGGTCTATAATGTACTGTTTTTATATTGCAGTATAATAATAATTGTACTATTTTGTTTATTATCATAATTATTCATTAAAACACTTTTTTGAAAAAATTAAAAAATGCCTTTTAAATTCTAGATAAAATTTAATTTAATATGCCTAATTCATCGACCTCTTGTTTAACTCAAAGCGTACAATAAACTTTCGATTTTGTTTACAAACATATAAAATTACAAATAAACAAGAAACAATCAACAATGAAAATTACACTGAACGTTTTACCTATTTATTAAAAAAACCAAGTCAATGAATTTTATATTACAAAAAACTAATCTCAAATAAAAAACAAACAAGCCGAAAAATTAGTATATAACGTAAACCCGTAAAAATAATGTCAGTATCATCAGTGATATAACGTCTAGGTACAATGTTCTTAATTAAAAGCATTATATTTTTGGCACTTTTCAACTTATACAGTGCAGCCCCGATAAAAGAATGTGGATTGGAAAAATCAAAGAGGGAATGCCTCATTCATTTGATGAAAATAATGGAACAAATAATCTCCGAGGAAGATAAGGACTCCATGGAAGAAATGTTGATGAAGAACTGCAACGGTCTCAGTACGGAACCTCGTGACACCACCACAACTCCACCAACCACACCGAAGGAAATCGACACCACCACGAGAAAAATTCTGATGCCCTGGGAGATGGCCTATTTAGATATGGTTTACGATGAAACACATCCACAGGTGCCACATGAAGAAAAACACACGGAAAGTCCTTTGGTTCCGTTTGAACCAGTTGGTGGGGCTGGGGAAGATGATGATGAGGCAGGAAATGAAGATGGGAAGTTATCCAACGAAGATAAAGAAGGTAGTGTAGGTCTGAATAATTCTTCAATACCTTTGGACAAGTTTAGTAATGCTACTATGAAACCAGTAAATGCAGTAGATGATGATGATGATGGAAGTAAGGTTGATGGTAAAAATGATTTTAAAGAACACATTGATAAAGAAACCAAAGGAACTGCAGATCATTCTAATGAATTTAGTGGTGAAGATATGGTTGACTCAGATGAAAACTCTTCAAATGGTAATAACACAGTTACAGAAGGACCTAAAGAAAATGCGGAAGAAGCAAATTTCGAGACAACAATTCAACCTATAAACACTGATACTACTGAAGGTAACGCTGGACCAACTGAAGAAGACGATATCTTACCAATTGTCCCAAATAACACAACAGGAAACCTATTTGTTCCACTTTTGATGTGTAACAGCGAAAAATGTATAGTGACAACAAGACACATCAATGAAGTTTACAAAATTTTAAAATGCCCCAAAGGAAAATGTACCTAATTAGTTAATTGTATTGTATCCTCCCACAAACTTACTTGAAATAAATATTTTCTTGCCTACACACTGTATGATCTTAACTACATAACCACAATGATTTTATTTACGTTCGCAATAGTTTTTGCGTTTTTTATCTCTTGTAAAGCATTTAGCAGTAACGTGGATGATAATGATTACAACGACATTAACACTTTACAAGTCTGCGTTTGTGTGCCCTATTGGCAATGCAAAGAAGATTTTAGCGGTCTAATCGAAGAAGGAGTCGGTATTGTTGATATAAGGTAAAAGTGTTGTACAGGGTGTGTTTAATTAAAGTGTAACTGTGCATTATAGGAGTTTACTGAATAGCAATCAAAGTGAGCCACCGTGCACTGGTGACTTTGATGTGTGCTGTAAAATTGAGTGCGGAAAACGTAGAAGCATCCCGAAGGGTGAGAATAAAAATATAGGTAATTGCACGAAACAAAATAGGGACCAACCTAATATACAATAAACTAGGATTTAGGATTATCGGGGCAGATAATGACGCCACCTTTGGGGAGTTTCCTTGGATGCTGGGTGTACTCCAGGATAAAACTTACAAATGCGGGGCTTCCCTGATTCACCCACAGGTGGCGGTAACAGCGGCGCACTGCGTGGGGGGGAGACGGCCTTATAAAGTCAGGGCTGGCGAGTGGAATTGGTTGGTTAAGGATGAACCGTTGCCGCATCAAGATAGAATAACGAAAAAAGTAAGTTATTCAAAACTTTAATCAAAAACATATTTTAATAATATTCTAGGTTGTCATTCATCCGCAATATCACTCAGGCACCCTAAGCAATGATATTGCTCTATTGGTGCTAAGAGAACCTTTCAAACTAATGGAGAATGTTGGCGTGATATGTTTGCCTCCAAAATATCTACACTTGGAATCTCAAAATTGCGTTGCCACCGGCTGGGGTAAAAATTCGCATAAAAAGGGGTCATACCAAACAACTCTAAAAAAAGTTACCCTCCCTTTGGTACCAAGAAGCATTTGCTTGAGGTCTCTACAAGAAGCAATGCTGGGACCTTCTTTTATACTACACAATAGTTTTCTATGTGCCGGTGGCGTCGGTAATAAAGATACCTGTAAAGGGGACGGAGGTAGTCCTTTAATTTGTCCGGTAGAGGGCGACATGGGGAAGTATCAACAAGTGGGTATAGTGTCTTGGGGTCTTACTTGTGGGGTCATAAATACCCCTGGGGTATACGTCAATGTACTTCTTTTTAGAGATTGGATCGACAATGTTATGACTGGGGAAGGTTTTGATACAAATGTTTATACATATTATTAAATAAAAGTTTATTTTATTAATACTACATTTTAATATGTCTAAAACATAAATGAAAACAACCCTAAACGCCTTTTACAAATTTTCATAAAATGCCTTTAAATGTACCACAAATGTACCAAAATATCTTTTAGGCCATTGACAAGGTTTTATGCCCTTAAAGCTCCAATACCCTTTTGTATTTATTTACTCATCCAGCCATTAGCAATGATTAGAAAATTTAGTACCTATTTTAACCATAACCACAAAATTAATATAATAATAATAATAATAATAAACTTTATTGGAAATCCAAATGGCTAACGACTTTCGTCTTCCTGCCCTAAAATTAATATTTTCATCGATTTTTTTCTTTTTGTTTGTCAGATGAAATTAGGTTAAACTTTAAACATTCAATTTGTGCAATTAAATTCGAAAGCACTTCCCTTGGTTGAGATATTTACAATTTGGGCCCATAACCTAAAATTTGAAAAAATGCACTGGATTCTGTCATAAGGGTGGCCGGATTTTGTTTGAATTTACCATGGAGCCTACACAAGGAGCCCGAACTAAATAGGGAAAATTGACAAAACCAGTCCACTAAATTGCACAAATTAAGTCTTTTTTTTTCACCACCAGCGGCGCTGTTTGTCAATGCGTCCGTATGACGTGAAAATAGTATCAAAAATACATGTGAAGTAAGCAAGTAATTTTGACAATTGATTTGCAATAATGTTTTGACGTACGAATCGTTTTGTTATTTATGGCTGTACCTGGTAGGTAGATTTTAATAAATAGGTTTTGGTTGTGAAATATAAGTGATTCTTTATAATCTGTGAAGTGATTTTACGACTCTGGAGAAGCAAAATAAATAGGTTTTGGTTGTGAAATATAAGTGATTCTTTATAATCTGTGAAGTGATTTTACGACTCTGGAGAGGCAAAATTAGATTTCCAGGTTAGAAATACACCTCTATTTAATCATTTAAATTTAATTTAAATAAAAAAGGATGTATAAAATGAGTAAACAGCATATTTAATAATGTCCACCTTTATTTGTTTATATTGAACTTTTATTTAAGCCATCTACCTATAAAACTAAAAATAAATACCATATGGATTTAATATTCTGTTAGTTTTACACACAGAACACGATTTAGCATCACACGACATTCTTTTATAGAAAAAAACACGTATTTATAAAAAACTGTACTATACTCTACATCAGAAAGGCCAACATAAATTCCAATGTTAAATTTGATATAAATTTATTGTAAATTAAGACCTTTATACACAAAACCAGGTACATGGGTACATTGTTTTCAGAAAGCGATAAACTGACAGTTGCATAACCTCAATTATTTCCACAATAATAAGTGGTAGGTAGTGGCGCCATCTCTGGTTATACCACTCTACTGTTTTGGACCGGTAGTACACCAGCGCCCTCTTATCTTGGGAAGATTCTTGTTTACATGAAGTTTGGGCTCCTTGTATAGGCTCCATGGAATTTACCTTCATTACAAAAATGACATAACCAACAATTAATAAAAACGCCAAATAATCATAATTTTGTTATTTGTAATTAAGCTAAATTTAAACAAAATCTGGCAACGCTGATTGTTACTAACCATAACATAATAAATTAAATTAGGCAACCAGATTAGCCTATAGTTCCATATCGATCAGTGGCGTACTTTTTGGGTAGGGTATTTAGAATTTAGAAAAAAAGTATTAAAAATTCTTAAACGGGAAATGTACAAAAATCGTCCTAAAACTTTTTTAATTTTTTGAAATACCTACCTTCTCCAAAATTTTTATTTAATAAAAGACTGTAAAAATTTTATATTGTTTTATTTTAACACTCCAAAAATATAACATGAAATAATCAATTTGTACTCAACAATAAAATATGGCACTATAAAATACTAATCACTATTTAAAATAAAATAAAACTCTTTTTAACTTATCGTGCAGTCTAGCTCCCCGTGCTTCGGGAGACAATCGAGGGTAACGGCAACAGCGCGCGTCATGTACGTCATGGTACCGTATGCGCCGCTAGGGGCGCTGTCGTAGAAATGCTGGCAAACGCTCGCAGCGCCCCCGCACAGCAAACCGTTCCCCTCCCTGTAGTCTTTGCTTTTCGCGCAGCACAAAGTGGCGTCACCATTGTTCTTGATCTAAGAGGGTTACAATGGGGTAGTTAAATTTTTTCTGACCTATACTTTTTATGGTTTTATTCAAGGCGTTTTGTAATTTTAAACATTTCTGCGTAATCGGAATTTCAATTGAGTTTACCGTTTTCGAGATATTTACAAAAAAAAATCTCCTAATTACGTCACTAGGCTATTGACAACGTTGCCAGCTTTTTCTATGGTTGCCAGTGTTTTTAGTTTAAGATTCTTACGATAGATGGCGCCACGTTATAATATTTTAGTTTTAAAACCACTTGATCTATAATTTTAGTTGAGAAGAAGAAGAAGAATTGTTTTTTTTGACGTTTCTTTTTTTCGGGTTATGTTTTTTTTTAAATTTAGATTATTGAAAATCAATGTTATTGTTATGTTATTTGTAATTGATATTAGATAAGTGATTTATTAATAACGGACTCCAAAGCAGAGGAATCTCGTGGAATGGTTGGTTACATTGAACATTGGAGCTTTTAAACAAATAAAGTAAGTACCTATAATTATAATCATATTTTGTCGTAAATGCATTTCATTAGTATAATGCCTAGTTCTTTATATTCTTTTAGATATATCTTGGACTCTAAAATATCAAACAGTAATATGATACCTCGTAATAAGGAAGATAGGTACTTAATGAATTTGGTGACCATCTTTCACTCAACTGACAGTGACAGTATTTGTACATAACCTCTTCGGGTATTTTCTGACATAACCGAATGAAATCATTAACACGACAACTTGACAACAGGGTAATTTTCAACCAATAGAAATCTTAGAATGTTGGTCGCATGGCGAGGTTTGTGACGTCATAAAAATTTATATTTTTTGTAAATATCTCGAAAACGGTAAACTCAATTGAAATTCCGATTTCGCAGAAATGTTTAATATTACAAAACGCCTTGAATAAAACCATAAAAAGTATAGGTCAGAAAAAATTTAACTACCCCATTCGTAAATAGCACGTCGCACTATGGTTTATTAATCTCACCTGGTTCTCCAGGAACAGGTCGTTGGCGGCGTGCACCAAAGCTTCCACCTCGATGAGGCCCCCTAGTGTCGGGGAGACGTTGTACTCCGAAACCAGCGTCAGCACCATCAGACCCTCCACTATGAGTTGTCGGTATTCGGGCTGCGGGATTGTGTTCAGAACCGTTTCGACGGCCAGGGCGAATTTTAACTCTCCCGGGGTCATTTCTTGCGTGAGGGTTTGCGGGAGCACTTTGCCCGCAATCGAGATACCTTGGCACTAAAATAAAATGAAATAACAAGGCCGATGGAGACCTAAAACTTACTCTCTCCAGTACTCCCCACACTCGGGGATAAAAGTCCCTGGGCACTCTGTTTAGAGCGCCGTCTAGCCGCCTGCGCCTCAACCACTGACCTTGACGGTCGGGTTCGTGCAAATCGTCTGCGGCGGCCGCGTCTCCAAGGCTGATGTGACTGCGCTTGCTGATGCGGCTGGATTTGTTGCTGACGATGGAAAAGTTGCCCCTGCCCACTGAAATTTGTTCGTTGTAGTATAATTAACTTATTGCTGGTTTGGGATATCTTTACCGCTGCTTATGGCGAACTCTTTGCCGCTTATGATGTGGTGCAGGAGGTTCTTCATTTCGAACGGGCTTAGGTTTAGTAAATGTTCCGAAGCTTCGTCGCCATCGCAGATTAAGGTTCTGGATAGTTCTGTTGCCATTACCTTAAGAATAAGGCGTTGTTTCATGTAAAACTTTTTTAAATATATTTTTTATGTCTAATATTAATAATATTCCTTTAGGCTGTTTGGAAAATATTCCGAAATGCTATATCATCGAAAGAAAGACGACTAAATGGAAAGTTCAAAAGAAAGTCAACAATATCGGTACAATTTCTCACCGTAATATCCATAATGACTAAATTCACATAAATCACCAAGTTCAATTAACTAAACCCACAGAATAAACCACTTACAAAAGAATCATAAAATAGACATACTCTTAGAAAAAGAAAACAAACTATTGCGTAAATAACCACAGATTTGTTCTTTAAACAGTTCAGAATTTTATAACCAAAACAAACCTAAAGAAGGAATCTGTATTTATTTTATTGGTTATCGTGATGGCTACAAGATAGCGATAGTGTTAAAATATGTTTATTTTAGAATAAAAATATAATTTCGATTAAATCGATTTATTATAAGAAAAATAATACCATTTATTATTGAATTTTGAAAAACGTGTGAAGTATAATTTATCTAAAATTCCGCAACAGTGTTGCCACAACACCTGCTTATTTCCTTGGATGTAGGCGTGCCTGCCTCGCGTATGTTAATACGAGAGAAGGAGACAACTATGATATCGCATTGTAATAACGCTAACGCCAATCGTGAGTCTAAATTAGTTCAGGCATGCTTCTAGCTATAATATTAGTTTAAATTGCGGTCGTTTCAAATTCAAATAATTTAAATGTTGCTGGGAATTCCACGTATATAATCAATCAATTTTATTGACTATTTCACAATTCATGTAATCCAAATATTAAAAATTTATAGTATATTATAGAAAGTAAAATATTTAAATTATACTTTATTTTTTAATTCTCTATGATGAGGCACTGATGCCTCTACTGCAATTAAGGTATCTTTGGGTAAAGAAAATATATATTTTTAAGTTATTTTATAGTTTTTTAAGTCAAATTTCATTAAAAAATTATTTCAGTATTTCAAGTAAATCGGATTTTTTACAGCACAGATTCCAATAAAATAGTATTTTCATGACACGCGCAGCGAAAATTCGACTTTCGGTGCTTTTTTAGCGACGCGAAAATGGCGAAAAAAATCCACTGTAAAGTCGCTTGTAGTTGACATGTTAAACAAATATTAGAAATATTCCCCAACACTTATTTTAAGCATTTTGTGTTTTGTTTTGGTGTTGGGGAAGAATTTTAGTATTTGTTGATGAAAAATAGTCCCGCACTAAATAAATTCAGTTTATCCCTTAATTTGACAGTCAGAAGTTAGAGCTTTCTTTCTAGAAACCATTTAACCCCGTATCTTGAAGCCAATACCCTTCGTCATTTTAGGTTGGTACGAATCCAATGAATTTTGACCGATGGTCTTTAATAATTTATCCCTTACATGTATTTTAAGACCGATAATATATAAATATAATAATAATAAAATATAATAAAATAAATAAAGAATATACAAGGTTGGTAGCCGGAGTAAGCAAAGAAGTAACATACCCCCCCCATTCACGAATACCAATTGAATGGGGTTACTACTAAGGCCTAGGTTGAGGAGGATTCCGGATTGTACTTAGTTTTGGGTCAGTTCAATGTCCTCCAAAAACCCTTCCTAAACTGGACGTATGGCCCGACCCGGCTGACAAAAATCCGGGAGCGGCCTTAACCTTTGACACTGTCATCCACGACCTCCTAGGGTGGAACTACCAGCCGGCGTAAAAACTGCTGTGATTTGGCGGGATACGCAGGAGAACGGAAAGGGGGTAAAATAACCCCGGGAGTGGATGACAATATATCTGGGGCCTGCCATACGTTCCCATACTCATACTCATACTCATACCTGTATTATAAGACCGACCCTCAACCTGAGCATCTCGAGGAACAGCTGGGGTTCGGTTCTGATGAACATGGCCAGGTAGACCAGCAACTCCTGCGTCAGCATTGCGGTGCTGTCGTCCTCGCCGTAGGCCTCGTGTATGAGCATGCGCAGGTCGCTCTCAGGGAGCGGCGCGGTGATGGTGTGCTCGTTGTTGGGAGGCATGCCCACTGTGATCTGCTTCTGCCTGACCAGTAGATCAGTTACAGACTTGGCCAGGTCTTCCACCCTCTTGCCAAGCATGCCGGCCGTGTGGCGCACCAAACCCCACATCTTCTGCTGGCACGCCTTCTCGTACAGCCCCTTGAGCAGGTCGCGAACCGTCACGACCTTCCCGTACTCCAGCATGCCGGTGTTGTACTCCAAACCCTTCGAATCCACCAAGTACTGGAGAATATCCCCTTGCTCGTCGAGAGACTCGGTCTCCCTGAGCATGGCGAACAACTCCTCGACTTCCGTGTCCGCGTATTGGGTCTCGGAGTTGGCCTTGTGTCGCGACACGCTTATAGCGGGGACTTTCGGTTTTTCCGGCGACAGCACGTCCTCTTTTTTCCTCTTGCGTTCCTCGGGAGACGGCGATCGCAAGTAGTCGCGGTGATGGGGGCTGTCGAGGGTGTCTTGCCAAGAACCGAACCACATCGACCCGCGTCTCTCCAGACTCGCGTTGCTTTCCATACCCAGAGTTTCCGCTAAGAAAATAACTGTATACATGCCAATTCCAGGCCCTAAAGTCGCGGCCAAATCTGTATGGGAGCACATCATCAATGCGATATAATGACGTCAGCATTGCCAACTTTGAATCGTAAAGTTACTAAATTTACCTATTTAAGGCGTTATTCTGATGTGTAACATCAATCATTTGCGTATTGTTTACTATGAACTGTAACAACTTCCCTGTTTTACAACGTTTTTTTTTACGAAATTAAGAAAATAAAACCATTCACTTGGTAATTTTTGTGTGTGACAGTTGCTAATAGCTTAAGGCTAGCGCTCACCGTTCAATATTATTGATGGGTCTGTGTCATTTTATATTTGACGTTTTTCGTCCGTAAACATCGTTTATCGCAGGTTATTACAAACAATTTTATACATTGTGTTTATCATAATTTAGTATTTTTGTGTTTTTGGTAATTTAGTATTTTTTTGTTATGTACAGGGTGATCCCCTATAATGTCGCCCCTCTTTAACTTTTTTATTTCGCTGTGTCTAGTCTCACGCTAGCGTGAACGCAATTTTATTCTTATTCTCACGCTAACGTGAACGCAATTTAATTTTTATTCTCACGCTAAAGTCAAAATAATTTTAATTTTATTCTCAAGCATTATTTTATTTAATTTTACTTTTTAGGTGTCGTGTCATTTGATTTGATTATTATTTGATTATGTCATTTGATTAAATTTGATTATGCAAATGTAATAAAATTTACTAATAATAAAATCGAGACTCTTTTACTGCAGCCAAACCAACCCAAACTCAACAACACAACCCAACCGAACGATAAAACTAAAACAAATTAACCAACCCAACCCAACCGAACACTGTTTAACAAAGAAACAACAAATTTATGAAATAAAAAAATAAAAAAAGTCCTTAGAATCGAACCCGGGACCTCTCGCATGCCAAGCGCCCGCCCTACCATCGGAGCCATCCAGCTTGTTGTCAAATATTAAAAACTCTGGGAACAAAAACGGATTATAATTAGTGACGTCACCGCGTGAGAATAAGAATAAAATTGCTTTCACGCTAGCGTGAGACTAGACACAGCGTTTTTATTTTAAGTGTCCCAAAATAATTAAAAGTGTGGTTATGTAGGAACTAAAAAATACTTTTTTTCTACGTATAAAGAAAATTGGAAAATTGATCAGTATATTACAAATAAACTGTCCGCGTGCGATAAAATGACGTCTTATGACATTAAGTTCTTTAATATACTATTATTTCCTCTCTAAACCCATTTAATCAAAATTTCCCGAAAAAAAACTCCTAATTAATTATTCAGTGTAGAAGATTAATTACAACAATGACGTTATAATTCCATATTTATAAAAAAACAGTATGAATAGACCTTAACGCTGACGTCATATGCCGTCGATGCAGATTTGGCCGCGACTATAGAACAAACCGAATCGAAATTTTCTTACCACCTTCCGCGAGTAACGGATGCATGAAAATATCATCTTTTAAAGCAATAGAAAAACGATAATTCATCACCTAAAAATACTTACAATCAACGTTTATGGATCTAGTCTTCTTAACCGCCCCTCTGACCGACATGCGCCGCCTTAGATTCCTCTGTCTAGGCCTGCTGCCTGTCGGCATCAGCAGCGAAGACTTGTTTGAGATTGATTTCAAAAGGTGCTCTTCCAAATATTGGTGGACTTGAGGATTTAACTCTAATAATGAATATGTTAAAAGTAATTCTAATTAAGGTGAAGACGAAAAAACGTACTATCGGGAAGTCCATCCTCATGGCAACCAAGAAAACTGAGGTTTGCTATGCAGCTGGTGTTAAGGAAGTCGTTAAGGTTGCCTAAAGTTACCCTGGTACCGTTTATGTAACCAGATTTTAGTTTCTTCATGGTGGTAATCATGGCTAACGGTAATTTACCTTGCTCTAAAAGTGGGCAAACATGATTTATTTTTATTGATTTTACAGGATGTTCAGATAAAAGAAAACCTCAAAAAAGAACATTACAAGTAAAATACAAAACAAATGTTTTGGAATATCGTTTATTTAAATTTTAAATTCTGAACACCCAGTATGAGCCCCATAAAAAATTCATATATGAGCCCTATTTGTTACATTCTATTCACATTTCCAAAGTCAAAAACATGTTATTTTAAAAACTGAAACAGGAGATAGTTTTGGTTAGTAATAGAAAAGTCCCTGTGTATTTAGTAAAGTTTTTCTTGCTGGAGGAGTCAGCACAATATACATGGTGTCAAACACATCAAATTCTAAGAAAAATTTTGCCTTCACAGCAAACGGAAAATTATGGAAGTGTATAGGATGACGCCACGTTTGAATATAGCTTTGTATTCGTCTTTCGAGCTTTTCAATACAGTATAAAGGTCGTAATTTGACTTTTAAACTAGTATTAATATAAAATTTATTTTATGCTTGAAAAAAATATATACGACATGATTGTGATTTTTTTCATTTTATTAATTAATTAAGCTGTGTTGAATATTTTTCCTATAGGAATAATTGCCAATGGGCCTTTAATTTATTTGTTCATAGATGCTACAATAACCTGCACTGGTGTGTACTTTTTGATCAACCAGATTTAATTATTGCTGTACTAACATATACCAGTGGAGATAGTGCAGGGTTTACCAACAGACCTCATTACTAAATTATTAAACTTTTCTCAATATAACCTCTGAAATTTTTAATACAAATATAGGTACTTATAATATATACATATACTTTACATCATATCCTCTGTGCTTTACATACCTGAGTTGTTACGGTGAATAAAAATCAGACAAAGGCACCAAAGGAACTGTTTTCAACAAAATCATATGCAGAAATGAGAATACTCAAAATACTTACATCCATCAAAAGATCAAAACTTCTTGCAATATTGAATTACACCCTTTTTTATGCTCTCAGAAATATTGACTAGGACAGTATTAGGGAGACTACAGTTTCTATAACTTGGTAGAGTAAAGAGAAGTCGAAACCGTTGCGATATTGCTATGCGCTGTTTTTTATAATTCTCGGGGACATTAACGAAAATCATTGCCAGTAAAATTCTAAAAGCTTGAGTTATCTCTGAAGAGAATAAGAATCCGAAGTTGCTGCACCATTGGACTGCCCCCTTTTTCAATAATTTCTAGAGCCATAAATGACTGCACCATTCGACAGGGTCGAGTTTCTACCTCTCTCTTGAATATAGAAAATCAAAATAATGTATATTGTAAGACACCATTGAGTTTGACTTTAACTATAGTCGTGCATAGGTATAGAGGCGAAAAATATAAAAACAAAGCATGAGAGAGCACGGTGCTGTTCTGAGAGGTGATTTTTGGACTTTCTGTGAAACCCAATTTTTTTTTATATTCTTGTTAATTAGGTCATAAATAAAATTTTAAGAGCAAAATAAAAAAAATTTGACGGTTTGAATTGTTTTAATTGGCTGTTTATTAAAAATATTATGCACTCTTTCAATTATCCAATTAAAACTATTGATTTAATTTAAATATTTAATATTTGCGTAACTAAAAAAAAAGGTTTTTACAATTTTTTTTATATATTTTACTGTTTTGTTGCAATAAACGTTCAAACTTTTAATCTAACCTTTGACGTATACATTTATGTTCCCTTAATTAATATATCCTTAAAGGTTGCCATGAAACTTAGATCTATTAAAAATTTATATGACGTTTGAATTGTCATTTTCAGTATACGTATTGTATAATTTTTGTTTAGTTTTTTAAAGTGTTTTTTATAAACAAAAATGAAAAAATGTAGTAAAAGTTACGAAGAAATTCATGAAATTTAACTAAGGACCGGTTTATTCATCTTTAGTAAAGTTTATCGGGCCGATAACTTTTATGTCTTGGCAATATCTAGTATCCAAAGAAATTATTCGTCAAATAAATCAAAAATGAATAAATCGGCCGTAAATAAAATGTGGCACCCTTAGAATTATTGTTTAATAAATGTATACTATACATTTAACCTTAAATTAAAACTTTAAACGTGTATTTAATACACTGTATTACAACAAAACAGTAAAAGATATAAAAAATGTATAGACCTTTTTTTAGGAAATTAACTAATCTTTAATCTGATTTAAAAAGTTATGATAATATTTAAATAAAATCGCAAGTTTTAATTGGAGAATTGAAAGTGTGCATACATATTTTTAATAAACATCCAATTAAAACAAAATTAACCGTCAAATTTTTTTTATTTTGCTCTTAAAATTTTAGTTATGACCTAATTAACAAGAATATAAAAAAAAATTAGGTTTCACAGAAAGTCCAAAAATCACCTCTCAGAACAGCACCGTGGAGAGTCATCCTATACACTTCTATATTTTTCCGTTTGCTGTGTTGGTGTAGTTCTTTTACTTTTTTATTTTATGTGTGGCCCTGACTCTCCCAACAAAAAAAACATACGGGGTGATTTTTTTGGGCGTTACCTAGTTGATCTCTGGAAGCGACAAGCGTGATGGTGGGCCGGCCAAGCATGTTACGCCACGTCATTGCCAAAAAAGCCAGATGCATGACGACCTTGTCGGCTAGCAAAGACATATCGTGCGAAGTGTAATACCGGTCCAAGTCAAAATTCTACCACGGGGACATACATGCAAAACACCACAAAAAAACCCTGTTAGTGATTAAGTTGGTGTTAAGTTGACAGCTGTCAAAAATTAGAGGTTATAAGCTCCCCACATGACCAATTAAAATTATCGAAATACCTAAGTGTAATCTTCTGCACAACACGGTTACTACAGGGCGTCCTAACATGTTTTGCCAGCTGGATTTTAAGAAATTTATTTCGCTTTTGCAAATATCTATCATAAGTTCGTAATCGGAGGCTATATAGTTTCTAACCATGTCAGTAAACTAAATTAATAAACAAAATAATAAAAAAAACTTTATAAATATTTTTATTGTAAGCAGTCTTGCCAAACTTACCTGCGGTGTAAAAGCGAATATTTTGTCTCCTAGAGAGTATAGTTTACTGGTGCTTAATATACCGACATCTCTTGATTTTCTTCCCGATAAACCCAATTTTTTGTTTCTCCCTAAAATTACCCTATTACACTTTGAATTCATTTGCTTCTGTCCTATCTCGTACTAAAAATACAAAAAATCACTGCACAGTTTAACGGCGGCCATTTTTGTTGTTTACAATAATTGTAGAATTATTCTTGTGCTTTGGGTTTGTGCTCTGTTTATACAGATTAATAATCGTTTTAAACGTTGTGTTTCTCATAGTAAGCCTTAAAAGAGTCCTTAAAGTGCTAAGAACAACCATTTTACTCCTCTATTGTAAAAAATAAACTTTATTCTATCAGGGCCGTCATAAAACTGTCAAATGTCAATTTTAAGGTTAAATTATAACCCACAAATTAACCTTCAAATTGTCATTTGACAGCCCTGATAGAATAAGGAATATTTATTATAAAAGAGGAGTAAAATGGTTGTCCTTAGCACTTAAAGGCATTATTTGAGGCTTACAAGTGCCTCTGTAAGAAACACATCGTTTAAAAAATTATTAAACAGCACGAACCCAAAGCACAAGAATTGTAAACAACAAAAATGGCCGCCGTTAAACTCTGTGCAGTGTTGCAGTGATTTTTAGTATTTTTGGCAGACCTTGTTGTGTGGATTGTGCACTAACCTAAATAGGTATAGAGATGGGACAACACTCTGGCGGGTTGGACCTCGATGGGAGCGACATCTGCGATGGTTTGCACAACTATGTCGTGCTCGGCCAATTTCCGCTTGATCTCGTCATCTTCGGCCAGAATTACGACTTGCACGACCACGTCGGGCTTTTTTTCGGCGCACAGTCTTCTGTTTAAGGGATCTAGCTCTCCAGGTGCTAGAAAACCCTTAAAAAAGCAATAAAAATAACTTAATTTACTTATAGATAAAAGTATTTTCACCTCTTGCAATAGCTTGCCAACGATATACAAGGATTGGGCCCACATAAAGGGGCACTGGCCTAAAGCAACGCGGTCCTGCGTACCAGGATCTTTGTATTCTTGTGGTACCAAAGCAGCTGGTACCGAGTACAGTTCAGGTACTAATCTTAGACCGTCGTCAGTTCTAACCATAATCTAAAAGTTAAAAATTTTAGATTCAATAATTAGTATTATTTTAAGACACTTTAAGTACATTTTACAGTTTTGAGACATCTTTTATCTGGGACATCTTTTATCTGGGACAAAATTACAAATATTTTCAATAGTTTTAGGACAATTTTATGAGTTTTAGGACTAAGATGTTTTCGACAATTTTGGAAATATATTTTTTTCATTAGGTATTTTAGCAGTTTTTAAACAATTTAAAGACAATTTTAGAAAATTTTACGGGACAGGAGTTGGGAGATAAGAAATTTTGAAGGTTTTAAAACTATTTTAGGACAATTTTAGAACTTTTTTAACAGTTGTAAACCAAGTTTAGAACTTTTTGGATAGTTTTAGCTGATTTTAGGTCAACTTTTAGCTGATTTTAGGTCAACAAATAGTTCTGGCACAATCCTGATAGTTTTTAGTCAATTTTGGAATAGTTTAGGACAATTTTATGGGTTTTAGGACTCTTAAGATGCATCTTTAAGGACAATGTTCACAATTCTAAACCAGGACATGTTTGGAAAAGTTTAGGACAATATTAGGACATTTTTTAGTCAATTTTTTAGTGAAATATTTAAAAAAAAGTCCTGAGACAATGATTTTAGGACTTTTTATATGGTTTTTAGACTGTTTTGGGACTTTTAAAACACTTTTAGACAGAAATAAGATATTTAAAAAGTCCTGGGACAATGCTAACCATTGACAGTTTTTTGACAATTTTGGATTATTTAAGGACAATTGTATGAGTTTTAGGACTTTTTAGATGGTTTAAGATAATTTTAAGAAACGTTTAAAACATTTTTAGACCAAGATAAGACATTTTAATTAGTTTTAAAACCATTTCAGGACAACTTTCAGTTCTAAACCAATTTTAGGAGTTTTGGAAAATTTTAGAACCATATTAGTACTTTTTAGATAGGTTTAAGCCAATTTTGGTACATTTTAAAGTCATGTTTTGTTTTAGTGACAGTTTTGGACAATTTTGGATTATTTAATTTTATGTTTTAGGACTTTTTAGAAGGTTTTAAGAATGTTTTGGGACAATTTTAAGACACTTTTAGACAGAGATAAGACATTTTAAATGGTTTTAAAACCATTTAAAGACAATTTTCACAGTTCTAAACCAATTTTAGGACATTTTTGGAAAATTTTAGGACCATATTAGTACTTTTTGGATGGGTTTAAGCCGATTTTGGTACATTCTTAAGTCACGTTTTGTTCTAGTGAAATATTTTAAAAAGTCCTGGGACCATTGACAGTTTTTGGACAATTTTGGAATATTTAAGAACATTAAAGGACAATTTTATTAGTTTGAGGACTTTTTAGAAGGTTTTAAGACAGTTTTAAAACATTTTTAGAAAGAAATTTGGCATGTTAAGTAGTTTTAAAAGCATATGACAATTTCACAGTTCTAAGCCAGTTTTATGACATTATTAGGATCAGATTAGGACTTTTTAGATGGATTTAAGCCGATTTTGGGACCTTTTAGATCAAGTTTTGTTTTAGCGAAATGTTTTAAATAGTCCTTATGACTTAAATAGGTATTTTACTAAAAAAGTCCCACACAATGCTAGACAATTTTATAAGATTTAGGACTTTTTAAATGGTTTTTAAACAATTTTTAGGGTTAGGTAGAATATTTTGCATAGTTTTGGGTTAATTTTAGATCATTTTTAGACAGGTCTAAAAAATAAGACATTTTAACAGTTATAGGACAGTTATGGAAAGGTTTAGGACCATTTTAGGACAACTTTGAGGTTTGGGACTTTTTAGATAGTTTTTACCCAATTTTAGGACATTTTTGGTCAAATGTTGTTTTATTAAAATATTTTAAATAGTTGTGGAACAATTTTGACAGTTTTTGGAAAAATTGGGCTATTTAAGATTTACGTTTTAGGACAGTTTTAAATCTTTTTAACAGTTTTAGGGCATTTTTGATATATTTAGTACATTTAGAACAATTTTGAGATGTAAAGGACTTTTTTGAATTTAATATTTTGATTAAAGTGAGGTTTAAATTTTACAGTTCTTAAGTCTTAACTATTATTTATAAAGTAAAATAAATAAATATGGGTTTTAAACAGAAAAAATTATGATTGGCTTACCTCTTCCAACTGTGAGTTATATTCCGCCGCTAAATCTTTATTTCCGCGAAAACAATTGTCCAAAATGAGGTAACAAAAAAACAACGGCCATTCACACTCAATATTTTCAAACATTCTTAACTCCCAAGGTTCATAGTATAAACGTCTAGGGTCTTCTTTGGGTGTTTTATAACCATCCCTGAGAAACCTTCTGCAACCATAACGTCCTTGAAGTTTATTGATGATTGTGTTACGGGTGTACTCTATTAAATCGGGGTCATCAACTGCAAATGCTGGGAAGCTTATAACGGAGAGTAAACCAGAGTCAATTTCCTTGGAGTTTGATTCTCTGGGAAGCATTGACTGCAATACTGCTTGGCATTTTTGTGCTTCATCGGCCAATACATGGATTATACTATAAGGGCCCCCCCTGGCTCCAAATAAATCCAACTCGTTCATAGCTTCCAGAGCAGCTTTAGCCATTCCTATGCTGCTAGCGTTCAACTCGGGTAAACCATGATTGGTTTTATCCCCTCTCTCCCATATACCATAATCAGGGGTGCAATAGGCACATTCAATATAGAAAACCAAGTTTTGCACAAAGGCCACTTCGTCCAAATTGAACACGATTTGTAGACCTGATGCAGTCATTTGTGCCAATATTAATAAATACAGAGATACTGCATCGATCTGCAAATGACCCCACTCATTATCACCGACAACACTTTGCCCCGTTTCGGATGAATACTTTGCATGCAGGGAGTCCAAAGGATTCTGTGTCAACTTAAAACGCTCCACCTTATCCTTTTGCTGCATCATGGCCATCAACAGCCCCCTCATTAGCTTAACGCAGCTCTGTTCGAGCTCATAGGTTTTTGCCCGATCTTCATCCTGATCCGCCATTTTTTTGTACGACATGCTCAAACTCCACACCGCCAAAATGCAGTAAACATTATCCCTGATCCAGGCGTGATTTTTTTCCGGACTCAGTGGAAACAACCCCGTAACCGGGTTCTGATGCGCCATTATTATCTTGTGCACCATCCTCTGATAATAGTCCAGGCGGACGCCAGAGTTGCTTCGGCTCCGCATCTTTATTATCTGACGGTAATTTGGCCAAACAAAACTCGAAACTATAATTAGAATAAATAAAAACACTGCAATGACATTTCAATGACGATTTTGACAGCTGTCAAAATTATTTGTTGGTTAGGGGTGCGTTCCGTAATAAACGAAGAAGAAGAGTTTTCCAACGACGTTGAAAGCAATAGAGATATATTAATTATAAATCCATAATTCTACCAATGACGTTGAAAACAATAGAGATATAAAACTATAATAATCAATAATTTTTATTATTATACTTATAAAACTATTTATTTATTAGTTTAATTATATAATTGTGTATGCAGATAATTATTTTTAATTCTGTTTCGTTTAAAATGCTTCAGCCTAATAAATACAGGTTTTAGGGTTATTTTTAGATGTTTGGAAGCTTTTAACATTTATTTTCGCATAATATTTGTAAAGCTAAAACACAAAGTTATTAAATGATTGTTTTTTGATCAATTGTGAATTAATTTGGCATGGTTGCTTAACAATGGAATATTTAAAATTTGTAAATTGGCTTGAAAAGCACGCTCGATTGTAAGAGCAAATTTAAGAGCCACTTAATAATTCAAAGGAACTTGTTCTGTACCTACATTAAATTTTAATCGATTATATGAAAGTAGGTATTGACTTTTGGAAATAAATTTTATATTAATATATATTAAATATTTAAAATATCGTGATATTTATTTTATATATGGATTAATAAAACACAGATTGTTTTCGAAATTTAGCCACTTTCGAGCACTCACTTTAAATGAATGGCACTTGGGTTAAATATTGCATCCACTAAGTGCAATTGATTAAATTTCCTTTACAAGAAAACTCGGGCAAAAAGCGGGCGTACCAACGTAATTTTAGTTGTATAAGTAGTTATGAATAATCCATAGGCGGCTTTTTAGAGTGTCCCTTTTGTCTTGGTGCAGGCTAAACTTATTTTAGTGCAGTAACAATAAAAAACATCGCTTCCCAAGTGGGTAGGTATAACGTTTCTAATATTGCGAGCGTTCTCTTTAAGCATTTGAATTTTACAACAGGTTATAACAGGTCTTAAAATACCGAAATATGTCTGAGAACCGGGCCAAATTCATTATATATAAATTATATGATCAAAATTTTAGAAATATATTAAAATTGTTTTAAAGTTGTGCCAATACTGTTTTAAAACTCAAATGCGAAAAAAATAGCCCAAGGAGTTAAAAGGTTATCAATAAATATAGGCAACTAAGACTACAAATAATGAAAATATCAAATTTTATTCGTAATAATTATTAATAAACTGTGTTGTTAAATAATCTGGGCACATGGCATAAATATTAAAAATAAAACACTTGTAATTGTTTAAATAAAAAAATAATTATATTATGCGTAACTACTCTAGTATAATATAGATTATGGGTATAATAGTTAATTATTATTTTCCAAGTAAGGCTGAGATGTATGCCCTGCAAAAAAATATTATTAAAATTTTATATTAAATAATAAAAATGCACATACCCTCTAAATCCATATGGGGACTAACATTAAAGAGAATTCTCTATTTTGTCACTTTTGTGGCATGGGTCAGTTCCAGGTTCGTGATGATGGTCTTGCACCCAACTTTTTATGGTGTGTAATCCACAGTGAACTCCATCTTTGACCACTTTGGCGGCCGACTTAACATCGTCGGTAAAATCTGATTTTATCGAAGCAATCAAAACGAAAAAGGTTAGGAGCAAAAACGTTGTTTTTAACGTTGTCATTTTGTTAACTAATGTTTCGCTAATGAATGCATTAATTTGTTTATCTGTTTTGTTTAGTTTGGTTCAATAACAACACTATTTTAATTAGCTAGAAAGGATTTCTTAGAGGTTATTTAAGTTGTCGTCCTTGTTTCTAACGTATACAGTGTGTTTCATCATATAAAAAGGATATATGTTTTATTTTCAAATTAAATCTGTTTTATGTTGTTGTTAAATTTAAAGTTAATTAAATAATTTTAAAACAAATAAAACACATGTTAGGTTAGGTTAGTTGCTTGTAGACAAATCAACCTCAGACAGATGTTTATACCTCCTTACAAACTTATTATCAACATATTTATTATCCATTAAAAACTCATTAAACAATGAGATCAAAATCCCAATTTATTTTTAAATTTAATCAACACGAAACCTTCAGTATATACTGTGTATCTTGCGAATAACGAACATGTACAAATTGTCGGTTATTTTATTTTGTTTTTATTTGTTATCTACGCAGATATATTGCGGGAAGATACAGTACCGTGACAAATGTGAAAAATATATCTCAAAAAACAAAACCGAATTGTGCAAATGGGGTAAAAATAGCGGATATTTTAACCAAGGTATGTACAAAGTTCACTTTGAATACTAATTTCTGTTAATAATTACATTTTTTAGTAACAAGTACGGAGATATATCCTCAAGATTCAAAAATGTATTTCCCAAACGAAAAAAATACAAACTCTAGTAACAAAAACACCATAGAAACAGTAACTACACAGAGAAAAATTTTCACATAACTGGTCGTTGGTTATTTGTTAGCTTCGTAAACTGATGTGAAATTACATAGATTGTGTAACTTAAACATATCTATGTTTTTTTACATAAAATATGTGATTTATGTTTACACAAAATTTGTAAATAATTCATAATTGTTTAAAATGTACATGACAGATGTAATTTATATTTACACTTTTGTGTAAATTTTATACATATATAATGTATTTTACTTACATGCATGTAATATGTAATTTTTTCAAAATTGTGTAATTGTATTCTATAGAATCATACTACAAAATATTGGGTTTATTTAACTTTTGCAATTAAATAAATTCAATATTGTGTGCTAAAACTCTAATACTAAAACTGCATGCAGTTTCAGTATTAGAGTTTTAGTACAAAATATTGAATTTATTTAATTGCAGAAGTTAAATAAACCCAAAATTTTGTAATACCTATTGCAGTTTGAATTTTTTTTAAATACCTATATACGGTATTTAAAAAAAAACTGTATACACAAAAAATAGACAATTTTTTAAGTTTAAATACTACATTTTAAAAGATAACTTTTAAATTGTTAGAACTTTTAGGGATATCTATTTCTAAATAAAATAAAATTGTAAGTTAACAATAGTTGTATATTTAAAACAATAATAAATTAACATTTTTTAAATACAAATATATAGTACATATAACAAATATATATAACAAATTTATATAAAAATTAATAGAAATTAAGATTTATTTTAATAATATTAATAATAATAATAATAATTTATTTTCAAATAATTGTTTACAGTTTACACACATATACAATTATGGAAAAAAAATGTCAAAAGCAAAGGATAAATGCATTGATAAACTAACAATTGTATCAATTATTCATTGATCTATTTTGAAATTCTTCTAAACTATATGGTTCTATATTTAATAAATAAATAAATATTATTTATTAACAAATCTTTAAGCTTTTTTTTAAATATTGACAATTTTGTTTCAATCTGAAGGCATTTTGGCAAATGATTAAAACATTTTATACATGCATAGTAACAACCTTTCTCATACTGACTCAAACGGTGGCGTGGAAATATTAGATTTTGGGTACGTTGCGAAGACATACCTACCTATTTAATCTAAAATCTAACCTATTATTATTTGTTCTAATAAATAATATTTATTCAATAAAAAATATTTGGATCTGAAAAAAAAGTAAAATTAGCCTATAATAAAATATTTCTTTAAACTAAAATTATTGCTTAAACTAGATATTAATTTGTAAACACGTGCATTTTTACCACTTGACATCAAAGCACCAAATATTTTGTTTTTACTGGATAGATGTTTAATATACTATAGTATTGGAATTAAACTTATTTAAATAAAATAATATAACTTATGAATAGGCAATTCTTTAAATAAAATTAAGTAAAATATATCAATTAATATTGGGAAAATCTCATTTTATTGATGGCATCATAGTTTCTTCTTTTATGCTCCTTATTTATAATTAATATACTTACCAAATAATACGAAAAAACAACTATAAACACTACACGACGCGTCCTAACTCAGCCAACAAAATGTTCGTTTCGTTTACATACGCTTGTGCCGCATCGCGTGACTTAATGCTCAAATCCTATTGGTTAATATTTACATGAAATGTGTAAATGTGACCTATAATATGTAATATTTAATATTTTTATGTAGAATTTACTTTTAAATGTAAATTTTACATAGTACTTTTAAAATTTTATAAAATTCACATTATATGTTATGTACTTTTATAAGAATATGTAAATTTACATTTTTTATCTAATTTCACACATATATCTTCTTAAAAACACAAAAATATGTACTTTTACCAAAAATTTGTAATTTTTTACTACTTCAGTTAGTGTGAAAGTTGTGTAAAATTACATACATTTTTCTCTATATATAGAAAATAAAAATATTTTTAAGACTGAACCTAAATGTCCAGAGGGATTTAAACTGGATCCAGCTGGAAAATGTAGGGAAGAAATGTAAAAAGTTTAAAATAAATTAATTTTAATTATGACTCTGTAGCTTTATTTTCTATTTCCTTATCAATAATTTTTATTATTTTGATTATATTTCGAAGTCTCCACAGCAACATTAGAGATAAACTTATTTTGATCATTTAGTTTAAATAAATTTGTGAAAATGAAAGTCAAATTTTTTTTGTTCCTGTGTATTTTTTGCTTGGGCTATGTCGAGGGTGGACTTATTTTCAAAAAAGTTGAAGAAACCGTTGGGAAAGTTGGATGCAAAATTCATAATATCAGGATGAGAATTTTCCATAAAAATGAACATACCAATGATTGTGCTCAAGGAAATCAGGAGGAAAACCATGATATTAAAGGTAAATATTTAGTTAAATTTAAAAAAAATATTGGTTTGTTCAAAAATTTGAAATGTTTCAAAAAATAGGATTTCTTACGAACACATTCGTTTTATTTTGTTTCAGGAAAACCAGAGCTAGCTTTTCCGGATATAAAACAAAATGAAATTGATGATACACACAGCCCACTAAATAACTACAATAATAAAAACACTTATATTCAAGAAAATATACCCATTTCTTCAACTTCAAAATATATTTCCACAAGTGAACCTCAAATAAACGAATATCAAAATAAAAACGATATTGTTGAAAATATATTAAATTATTCTTCAACATCCACATCTACATCTACAGTTACCTCTACTTCCACATCCACAGAAACGTATCCAGAGATTGACATAAGATATGAAGATGATGAACAAAAAACCAACAAATCTGTTCCAGTTCCAGGCGGGAGAAGAATTATTGGTGTTAAGGATAATTGCCCTGAAGGACAAGCCTTTATTTCCGGCTCTTGCAGAGAAGAAATGTAAATAAATCTCATATTTTGTTTAAATAAATTAATTCAACAAAAATAGTTTTCAATACCCTAACAGCCTTTTACAGAAAAAAGTGGCCAATTTTGTAGTCTTGGTCATTTAAGTAACAATATTTTGTTGTTGATAGTTTCATTCTGAACTTGAATTATAAACCATACAAGGTTTTGTTGGTACACTCTTTATAACCTAATTTAAAGGTTTATCTGTTCCTTCTATTAACTATTTCATAGTTAATGGTAAACAAAACAATTCCAATTTTTTTCAAATTAAACCAGGACATCGACTGCTTATCAATCTAACTCTTTGACCACTGATGATCCCGTATAAAAGCGATAACGATAAAATTTGTCAAGCAGTATTAGATAAATCTTCAGAGTCCAAAAATCGTAAGAATGTGCCTAAAGTTTTTCGTTTTCTGTTCTTTAACGGTGCTAGTGACTTGCCAGTACTACCAACAACCTGTCGGATTTTATCCTCAGTATCAACAGTATCCGCAGCAGTATCAACAACAATATCCGTATCCGTATTGGTATAATCAGCCTCAAAATGCTGTGCAATATCCGTATTATCAAAATTATGGACAATATACACCATATCAAAATTTTGTGAACCAAGCACAAGTTGTGCCACAACAAGCTTCACCAAAAATATCCGAAGTATCTCCTGACATAAGAACGGCATTTATCCAAAAATACAACCTTACTGGTTATAATTTGGACAAAATACCAAACGCCCAACGTCAAAATTTCCCCGGTTATACCATAAAAGTAACAAACTCATCGTCCTACTCAGCTTCACCACAAAAGTTCGTGAAACACACTGTATATCAAACTAAACCGATAACTACAAAAATATTCAGACAATTCAAAACAAATGGAGAGGAGGCTTTAAAACCAATTAAGCTGAATTTAAATATTGTTAATGGAGTTGAGGTTACTGAGAAACCCACCACTGTCGCAGCTGAAGCCATTGAAGCTGAAACCACAACGTTTTTGACAACTACGACTGAAAGTGAGGAACCTGATAATGTTGACAGTTGGTTAGGTTAAAATTGTTTCTTTTGTTTAATTAATAATAAAGGGTTTTTAGTTTTGTTTATTTATTGATTTTACCTTTGATTTGTCAGGTAATAAAATATTACAAAAGATAAATGATTAAAAAAATCATAATTCCAACTAAAATATTACACATCTAAAAACGTAATTAAAATTAGGCAACATTACTATGAAAAATTTTTTGACAGTTAAGTTTTTTTAAATACACTTAATCTTTTTAAAACGTACAATAATTTTCATAGTAAAACACTCATAGTCTGTATAGAAAGACTTCAAATTAGT